GCAGAGCAAAGTAGAGCTGGAGTGGACCCTGTCTGGACTTTCTCTCCTTAGTGTGTGTTTTGTGTGTGTGTGTGTGTGCTGTTGCCAGCCTCCGTCACTGGTCTATAACATGATGAAGCACCAGTTGGAGACGCTACCAGACAGCATCGCTGCCACAAAATATGTATCATTCAGTGGATGGATAATTGTATGTGTGGGGTACAGAGATGAGGTAGTCATTTAAAAATCACGTTAAACACTATTATTGCGCACATTATTATGTGACTTGTTAAGCAAATGTTTACTCCTGAACATATTTAAGCTTGCCATAACAAAGGGGTTGAATACTTATTGACTCAACATTTCAGCTTTTCATTTTTAATAAATTTGTAAAAAATGTGTAAAAACGTAATTCCACTTTGACATAGTGTGAAGGCCAGTGACACAAAATCTGTATTTAATCCATTTTAAATTCAGGCTGTAACACAACAAAACTTGGAAAAAGTCAAGGGGTGTGAATACTTTCAGAAGGCACTGTATGTTCTCAATTTAAAATGATACCAGTAGACAATGTATATGAGGCAACCCATATACCAGATTTTGTACATGCCATTTAAGTGCTGACATAAAATTGTTTAGTGCAAATCCAACCCTTGTAATTTAGGTTCAGGATGAAAATAAGGAGATGACAGTTAGGCTACAGGAGACAAGCATTACAGTTAACATTTTATGAGTTTCATTTTATTTCATTCATTTTAGCAATGTTGCTAGCAAAAAGGTTGCAGTTGTTCCCATAGATAGACAGTACACGGTTGCTCAATGTATCACTGACCCTGGATAAGCTAGCAACTTGGCAAACACAGCTAACCTGTTAGGTCAATAATATGCTGTTTTTATACAATTTTTGTTGGCTTTATAATTGTGAGAGAAATTTAACTAGCTAGTAGTTAATTATACCTGGGTAGCTTACATGGTTAGCTGACTTTTCTCAAAATGAACCTCATTGTGGCTAGCTACTTCTTGTCTCTCGTGCTAGCCTTTATAGCCAAATATCACTTCAGAAACGTAAAAATATTGATATGGCCAGCATTGTCCCCTCTTGCTGCAGCTTTAGCTCATCTCGAAACAACAGAGAAATGCTGTGAATACCATCGTGCTGCAAACGTTCTAAAATGTTTTGTCACCAGTGCTTGTTTTGTTGACATTTTTTGTCCTCACACACTGTTGCTCCTACAGCACTAATCTGGTGAGCACTTTTGGAGCTCCGCCCCAAGCAAGGCATTTGATTGGTTTGACATGTGTGAGGCGTCACTGATTTACACCGAGTTCCGACCCCTCTTTAGCTGATTTCTGCCATGGAACTTCCACAGGCTTCCCGTTTTAGGGAGCCTGGTTTGCGACGAGGCTTGTGCATCTCAAATGGCACCCTATAGGAGGACTCTGATCAAAAGTAGTGCACTATGTAGGGAATAGGGTGCCATTTGGGACACAGCCTAAATACACAGCCTAAATACACAGCCATTGAAATAGACTAGAAGCCATTAGCCAAGCTCTTCTCACTCCATGTGATGGTCCATTCTTACATTTACATTTTGGTCATTTAGCAGACACTCTTATCCAGAGTGATGTACAGTCAGTGCATTCAACTAAGGTAGGTAAAACAACCACATATCACAGTGATAAGACAACCACAGCTCACTGTAGAAGCTCATGTGATCTCTGAGATGAATACCTGTTGAAACTGAGCCCCCATCACCCTGATACTGCAGATCTGCGCTGGCTGAGGTTCGCATGTTGTCTGGCTCCTCAGATAGTGGTGCAATAAAGCCTCTGTGCTGTTGTTCTTGGAATTAAACGTGCCCTCCTTCCCCTTAAAAGCTGTTTCCTTTCTAGTGGTGGAATTGTTTTAGTGCAGCTTTGTGACTGGAATGATGGCATGGTGTGTGTGTGTGTGTGTGTGTGTGTTTCCGTGCGTGCATGTGTGCGTCCGTGTTTGCGTTTGTGTGTGTGCGTTGGTTCCTGTGTGTGTTGGGCTTGTTGGAGGCTCCACATGTTGACACACGCTGCTCCTTGGAGGAGACATCAGAGACATATGTGTGTCCCAAATTACACCCTATTCCCTACGTAGTGCACTAGTTTTGACCTGAGCCCTATAGGCCCTTGTTAAAAGTTGTGTACTATATAGGGAATAGGGTGTAATTTGGGATACAGCAGAGAAACATCAGAGGGTTGTTTAGCTGTTAGCAGGAGGTCAGTTGTTAGACATCTGTTAGTTCCTGCCTGACTGCCCTCAGGCTCCAGGGATAGTGGCTAGTGGGCCAATCTGCCCTCAACATGGGCATTTCAGATGTGTGCTGTAGATGAGGGCCTTGATGGGGGGAGGGGAGGAGTGTGTGTGTAAATCTCTTGTTCTCAGACAGAGTGAGGGGAGGGAGGGACACACACACACACACACACACACACACACACCTGCAGGACATCAAAGGCCCCCTCTCACCATAACAGACACACACATGCTGGGCTGCAGGGGCTAACTGACACCTCTGCCTGGGGCTACAACCGTCTCCCCTCCCCCTCCCCCTCCCTCCCTCCCTTCCTCCCTCCCACCCCTCGCTGTGTCTGAGGACAAGAGACTTAGACACACACAAACATTGTGACTATAATGTCATTCACACCCATGTGGAATGTGTCAGTGTGGGAGGAAGGAAGCACTTTCTACTCCTTCCTTCGTCCTCTCATGTCTCTCAGTGTATTCCTTCTCCTTTGGGTTTAATTTTTTCCATGGGTCTAAAGCCATCTGATTAAAGCCATCTGATTTAAAGCCATCTGATTTAAAGCCATCTGATTAAAGCCATCTGATTAAAGCCATCTGATTTAAAGCCATCTGATTTAAAGCCATCTGATTAAAGCCATCTGATTTAAAGCCATCTGATTTAAAGCCATCTGATTAAAGCCATCTGATTTAAAGCCATCTGATTTAAAGCCATCTGATTAAAGCCATCTGATTTAAAGCCAGTCCCTCCTGCAAGGCTGCAGCCACTAGGCTCTATAAGCCCTTAGGAATGTCTGATGAATCCCTCATGTCTAACACACACTGGGTCTGCCGCCCAAATTGCACCCTATTCCCTATAGAGTGCACAACTTTGAGGAGAGCCCGATAAGCCCTATGGGCCCTGTTCAAAAGTAGTGCACTATAAAGGGAATAGGGTGTTATATGGGACATAGGCTGGCCCCTCCATTACCCGGCCGGTGCAGATAAGCGCTCAGCACTCTGAAGAAATGAAAACAGAGCCAGATGAAAATATAAAAATGACTATTTTCAATACGCCCACCTTCTCCCCATTCTTTCCGTCCGATGGCGAGGCAGGTAGAGGGGGGTGTGTGTGTGTGTGTGTAAGTGATTTTCTGATTTCCACACATCTGGAACGAACTTTGAGGTCTTCTTTTTTAGGCTTTGGTTGGTGGAACTGGACTGGCCTTGACTGAGACCAGCAGAGAGATATGCTTGTGCCCTTACTCCTCCAAACATAACTTGTCACCATAGCTTCCATCCTAGTCTTGAGCATGTCTATGTGTTGGCTTGTCCCCATAGCTTCCATCCTAGTCTTGAGCATGTCTATGTGTTGGCTTGTCACCATAGCTTCCATCCTAGTCTTGAGCATGTCTATGTGTTGGCTTGTCCCATAGCTTCCATCCTAGTCTTGAGCAGTCTATGTGTTTGGCTTGTCCCCATAGCTTCCATCCTAGTCTTGAGCATGTCTATGTGTTGGCTTGTCCCCATAGCTTCCATCCTAGTCTTGAGCATGTCTATGTGTTGGCTTGTCCCCATAGCTTCCATCCTAGTCTTGAGCATGTCTATGTGTTGGCTTGTCCCCATAGCTTCCATCCTAGTCTTGAGCATGTCAATGTGTTGGCTTGTCCCCATAGCTTCCATCCTAGTCTTTAGTATATATATGTGTTGGCTTGTCACAACCACTTAGATCTATAAAATAGTTCCCTCATCACTGGCATCTGCAGCACCTAGAGAACACCACTTACTTTACCTTCATCTTAGCATTGCTCTTTGTGGCCCTGGTGCTATCTATCTATCTATCTTCTATCTGTCTATCTATCTATCTATCTATCTATCTATCTATCTATCTATCTATCTATCTATCTATCTATCTATCTATCTTCTAGTCTTGTCTGTCTGTCGTGTCTTCTGTATCGTCTGTCTGTCTGTCTGTCTGTCTGTCTTGTCTGTCTGTCTTGTCTGTCTGTCTCTTCTGTCTGTCTGTCTTCTGTCTGTCTTTGTCTGTCTGTCTGTCTGTCTGTCTGTACTGTCTGTCTTCGTCTGTCTGTCTGTCCTGTCTGGCGTCTGCGTCTGTCTGTCTGTCCGTCTGTCTGGGCTGTCTGTCTGTTTTCTGCTCTGTCTGTCCTGTCTGTCTCTGTCTGTCTGTCGGTGTCTGTCTGTCTGTCTGTCTCGTCTGTCTGTCCCGTCGTCTGTCTGTAGTCTGTCTGTCACGTCCTTGTCCTGTCCGGTCTCTCCGTCTGTCCCGTCTCGTCTGCTCTGTCTGTCTGTCTGTCTGTCCCTGTCTGTCTGTCTGTCTGTCTTCTCTTGTCTGTCTGTCGTCGTCTGTCTGTCTGTGCCTTGTCTGTCTGTCTGTCTGTCTGTCTGTCTGTCTGTCTGTCGTCTGTCTGTCTGTCGTCCTGTCTGTCCTGTCTTCTGTGCTGTCTGTCGTCTGTCGTCTGTCTGTCTGTCTGTCTGTCTTCGTCCTGTCTGTCTGTCTGTCTGTCTGTCTTCTGTCTGTTCTGTCTGTCTGTGTGTACTGTCTGTCTGCTTCTGCTCTTCTTCTGTCTGTCTGTCTGTCTTCTGTCTGTTGATCTGCTCTGTCTGTCTGTTTCTCTCTTCTGTCATGGTCTGTCTGGGTTGCTCTGTCTGTCATGCTATCATTGACATCTAGGCATCTTCTTTTTACCTATCTTCTATCTTCCAGGTCATTGTGAAATGTGATGCTGCTGGGATGTTGTCTCCATGCCAGTTGCCCTGAGTGAGTCAGTGGGCAGTTCAGCCAGTCAGGGGAGTGCTGTAGCCACTGCCCCCCAGGCCATGGGGTGGAGTAAGTTTGGATGGAGGACACCGTGCCAGCCTTGTCCCTGAGGTGATCATGGAGTGCATAGAGGTTTCCCCGGATGCCTGTTGCCTGTGCCATTCCTCCAGTAGACTTACAACTACGGTACATACATATTGATAATACTGTGAGATACATTCAAATCAACTATACCTGTATGTTCCAGGAACGTTCTCCCCATCAGACGGTCTCTCCCCGTGCCTCCCCTGTGCCCGCTGCCCGGCTGGCATCCCAGAGCTGGCCTCCTGCAGCGCCACCCTGGATACCCACTGTGACTGTGACGAGCACTTCTACCTATGGCGGGATGGGACGAGCGTGGCGGGGCTGTGTGCCGCCTGCACTATGTGCGGGCGAGGCGAGGGGGCGGTGAGGCTGTGCGGTGCCCAGGGGAACACCCAGTGCCAACCATGCCGCCTGGGAACGTTCTCAGAGGAGAAGAGTAATACCAAGCCCTGCCAGGCATGCTCTCAATGCTCTGACACCGAGGTGGAGATCAGAGCCTGCCAGCTCAACTCTGACACCCTCTGCATGGGTGAGTCTCTGTGTGTGGTGTGTATGGACTTATAGTTGACTGGGGCAGCTCTAGCAGGGCAGAAATTTGACGAACTGACTTGTTGGAAAGGTGGCATCCTATGACGGTGCCACGTTGAAAGTCACTGAGCTCTTCAGTAAGGCCGTTCTACTGCCAATTTTTGTCTATGGAGATTGCATGGCTGTGTGCTCGGTTTTATACACCTGTCAGCAAAGGGTGTGGCTGAAATAGCCGAATCGACAAATTTGAAGGGGTGTCCACATACTTTTGTATATATAGTGTCTGTTTCCCATTCCAATAAAGCACCTTAGAGAGAGAGAGAACATGTGTCCAACACCTGTACCCACACCTAATCTGAACACTTAGCAACACTCTTGAGGAAACATGAGCACAGTCCAACAGAGAAAAAAACACTCTTAAGTGCTGCAGTCAAATGGCTCGGAGCCGACAGCTCTTAAATTGGGCCTAACAACCTAACTACCCCCAGACCAGACCCCAGGGCCTTGGCACAACGGTGACCCCAATATGGTAACCCCTCACTGGGCTCCAAATGACCAAGCCTTTGCCTAGTGGCCTGGATCTCCCCAGGAGTCTGGTCATCTGAACACACACAGGTCACCCCATCTGACCCTGTGGAGGTCAGGGGAGTCCCCAGCAGTGTTTGATCCTAAAATAGGCTGGCTGTAGAAGGGGTTTGGGGGGGGAGCTGACTGGGTCAGAGGGGGCTGGTAGCTGACTGGGTCAGAGGGGGCTGGTAGCTGACTAGGTCAGAGGGGGCTGGTAGCTGGCAGGGTCAGAGGGGGCTGGTAGCTGGCAGGTTCAGAGGGGGCTGGTAGCTGACAGGCCCTCACAGACTACTGCTGCTGGATTATTTCAGGCAACAAGGTCATTATTCAGATAGTTAGTAGTGTTACCAAATATCTTTACAGTGTGTCTGTGTCTCTGTCTCTGTCTCTGTGTCTGTCTGTGTGTTTGTGTCTGTCTGTGTCTCTGTGTCTGTCTGTGTCTCTGTGTGTGTCTGTGTCTCTGTGTCTGTCTGTGTCTCTGTGTCTCTGTGTCTGTCTGTGTCTCTGTGTCTGTCTGTGTCTCTGTGTCTGTCTGTGTCTCTGTCGGTGTCTCTGTGTCTGTGTCTCTGTGTCTGTCTGTGTCTCTGTGTGTGTCTGTGTCTCTGTGTCTGTCTGTGTGTTTGTGTGTCTGTGTCTGTCTGTGTCTCTGTGTCTGTCTGTGTCTCTGTGTCTGTCTCTGTGTGTTTGTGTGTCTGTGTCTCTGTGTCTCTGTGTCTGTCTGTGTCTCTGTGTCTGTTTTTGTCTGTCTGTGTCTCTGTGTCAGACACACAGACAGACACAGAGACACAGAGACACAGACAGACACAGAGACACAAACAGACACAGAGACACAGACAGACACAGAGACAGACACAGATACACATACAGACACAGAGACACAGACAGACACAGACACACAAACACACAGACAGACACAGAGACACAGACACACAAACAGACACAGAGACACAGACAGACACAGACACACAGACAGACACACAAACACACAGACAGACACAGAGACACAAACACACATACAGACACAGAGACACAGACAGACACAGAAAGACACAGACAGACAGTGTGTGTCTGTCTGTGTGTTTGTGTCTCTGTGTCTGTCTGTGTCTCTGTGTCTCTGTGTCTCTGTGTCTGTCTGTCTCTCTGTGTCTGTCTGTGTGTTTGTGTGTCTGTCTGTGTGTCTGTGTCTGTCTGTGTCTCTGTGTCTGTTTGTGTGTCTGCATCAACTGTAGGTATGAAAGCCCTCACATTTTATACGCTGTCATTGACTTATTATCAACAACAAAAAACATTGTGCCAATGGTAGATGTGTCGAGGCTTGATTAGATGTTGAGACAGGTATAAGGACAGGGCAGATATGTCATTGATAAGATGTTGAGACAGGGATAAGGACAGGGCAGATATGTCATTGATAAGATGTTGAGACAGGTATAAGGACAGGGCAGATATGTCATTGATAAGATGTTGAGACAGGGATAAGGACAAGGCAGATATGTCATTGATTAGATGTTGAGACAGGGATAAGGACAGGGCAGATATGTAATTGATTAGATGTTGAGACAGGGATAAGGACAGGGCAGATATGTCATTGATTAGATGTTGAGACAGGGATAAGGACAGATATGTCATTGATTAGATGTTGAGACCGGGATAAGGACAGATATGTCATTGATTAGATGTTGAGACAGGGATAAGGACAGATATGTCAAGTGGCCTCCTTCTCTCTTTAGTGTTTCCTTCATGGTTCAGTGGTTCTCTAATCAACAGTCTCCCATCTCTCTCCACCTACAGATAAGAAGCTCCACATCCTGTCTCGTCCCCCTGAGTCTGACGGCCCTCTGGCCGCTCCTCGCCTGCCTGGGTTAGGGTTGGTGGATGATGACGAGGAGGGGGACGAGGCCAGCCCTGCCCCTGGAGGAAGAGCGGCCCCCGGGGGCCCCGGGTTCACCCCTCAGGATGATGGGAGCAGGAACAACATCCTGGTCTACGTTTCTGTTCTGGCTGCCGTGGTGCTGGGCCTGCTGCTCTACGTCGCCTACAAGTGGTGAGTTCACAGGAGACACGCTGCAGTCTCATTGGCTGCCTCCTGATTCTCCTCACTTCTCCCAAATGGATTTTGAAGCATTGCATTGGTGTAAGCATTGGCTAGAGGGAGTTTGCAAGCCTTTCGATTGCCGTCATGTATTTCTGTTCTAGGTTGTGATAAAATGATCCTGTTGTTATGTTTAGTAAAGAGTGTAAAAGTGTTTCCTCCCATCTCTCGTCAGCTGGACGTCATATAAGCAGAAGCAGGCGTTGAGTAAAGCCCGTGCTGCAGAGCTGGGGACGACTCCTGAAGGAGAGAAACTCCACAGTGACAGCGGAGTGTTCCTGGACTCACACAGCCTGCAGGATAGCCAACCAAGCAAAGGTAACAACAAACAGCCATCTGTGGTTCTCTGTAGCTCAGCTGGTAGAGCATGGCGCTTGTAACACCAAGGTAGTGGGTTCGATCCCCAGGACCACCCATACACAAAAAAATTATTATGCACACATGACTGTAAGTCGCTTTGGATAAAAGCGTCTGCTAAATGGCATATTATTATTATTATTATCAAGACTACAACAGAATCGGCTTCACTGCACTACACTTTTACTTGAGTGAGAACAGAGGCCCAAGTTGAATATATGTTCTAATCTCTCTCAATGTACAGCACATTTGGCATTTAGCAGATACTCTTATCCAGAACAACTTACAGTCAGAGGTCTTTTCTAACTGGCTTTTCTCATCTATTATAACTGTTGAATGGAGTTGTGACTATCTGTGTCTGTTGTTGTGTATTCTAACCCCCCCCCCAGGTAGTAAGAGGGACAGTAAGCAGGACAGCCGGCTGTACATCAACCTGCCCCCCCACAGACAGGAGGAGGTGGAGCGTCTGCTCCAGGAGGGGGGCGAGGGCCGTGGAGGCTCCTGGAGGATCCTGGGGACAGCGCTGGGTTACGAGCCCGAGCAGATGGACCTGTTTGGGCGCGGCGAGGCCCCTGTACACACCCTCCTCTCCAACTGGGCCCAGCAGGAGGGCTCCACCCTGGGACTGCTGTGCTCAGCGCTGGCCCGCATCGAGAGGCCCGACGTGGCCGCCGCTCTCACCTGCCCTGGCCATGGGGTGTCTGTGGTCTGAGGGGGGGAAGCCAGGTCTGCGTCCCAAATGGCACCCTATTCCCTATATAGTGCACTACTGGTAAGTTAATGGTAGTACACTATGGGCCCTGGTCAAAGGTAGGGCACTACATAGGGAGCCACGCAGCCCCAGAGCCTTCCTCAGCCTTCCTCATGAGCCTGATAAGACTGGGTCGCGTTCATTACAAACCAAAACGGACTGAATCAGGGAGGGACGACCTGAACTTGAACCAGTTGTTTTCGTTTACCGTTGTGAAAACCTACTGCTGCGGTGTGTACTAATGAATATGACCCTTGTGGACTTAGGAGAGGATGGATTGGGCAAACAGCCCTCCTTCTCTCCCAGTGGGATAGCATGGCATGCCAGGGGAGGTACTCTTGACTGCCCCATAACGCCTCAGAAATTTGAACTGAAGAGGGCAGTGGAAGTGTTGTTGCTGGTTCGTTGGGCTGGTTCATCCTCTATTGGAAATGTACAGTATATCCACCATCCTTCCAGTATATATATTATTATTTTTTACCATACTTGTGCATAGTCTGCCCAAGCGTTCTAGGAATGGGCATTTATTTGCAGCAATGTCAGGAGGATCCACTCTCTTTCCTGATTTGTTTTTCAGCAATGTGAGGAGGATGCACAACAGCTGACTGTAACTAACTGAACAGGCATGGGAACGAGATACTCTGTGGAACATTCTTTAGAACATGGACTATGGAATAAAGGCATTCTGTTCATATTAACAATCAGTCATGAATTTTAAGACCATTGTAAATATTTGATCATAGATTCATTGTAATATAGTGTTAGAAAGGTTTTCAAGCATGAAGGGGCAACCGCGAACATAGTTGACTGAAGCAACATAGCATACATGATGACTCTCTCTCTCAGCTCTTAGCCACTCTCTCTTAAAGACATTGGGAGCCCTCAAGTCAGTAATGTACTATCAGCATTGCTAATCACTGTCTCTCTCCTATCATGGTTTCTGGTGTGGCTTGCTATCCAGAACATTATTGTTATGTAACAATCAATCACTTATTTTTGTCTATATTCTAATATGTCATGATGTGTGTTTTTTGTAAGATGTTGTTTCATATAATAAATGCTTTTGAAGGTATGAGTGAGTGAGAGTCAAACGGTGCTCTCTGAGCTTGTTGTGTTACATGTTCTGACAAGTACAGTGGTTTCAGTCCTACCTGAACGTAAAAGCAAGCAGCTACCTGCTCTGTGGTAGTTTATACTGAAGATAATCAATGGCCGTCTTTGTTCTTTGTTTGTTTCAGTAACTTAACAAGGGTGTGACTTGTAACATAAATTAAACAAGTACAGTGAGGGAAGAAAATATTTGATCCCCTGCTGATTTTGTACATTTGCCCACTGACAAAGAAATGATCAGTCTATAATTTTAATGGTAGGTTTATTTGAACAGTGAGAGACAGAATAACAACAACAAAATCCAGAAAAACACATGTCAAAAATGTTATAAATTGATTTGCATTTTAATGAGGGAAATAAGTATTTGACCCCTCTGCAAAACATGACTTAGTACTTGGTGGCAAAACCCTTGTTGGCAATCACAGAGGTCAGATGTTTCTTGTAGTTGGCCACCAGGTTTGCACACATCTCAGGAGGGATTTTGTCCCACTCCTCTTTGCAGATCTTCTCCAAGTCATTAAGGTTTCGAGGCTGACGTTTGGCAACTCGAACCTTCAGCTCCCTCCACAGATTTTCTATGGGATTAAGGTCTGGAGACTGGCTAGGCCACTCAGGAGGCCTCTTCTTGAGCCACTCCTTTATGGCCTTGGCCGTGTGTTTTGGGTCATTGTCATAGTGGAACACCCATCCACGACCCATTTTCAATGCCCTGTCCATCGTCCCTTTGATGCGGTGAAGTTGTCCTGTCCCCTTAGCAGAAAAACACCCCCAAAGCATAATGTTTCCACCTCCATGTTTGACGGTGGGGATGGTGTTCTCGGGGTCATAGGCAGCATTCCTCCTCCTCCAAACACGGCAAGTTGAGTTGATGCCAAAGAGCTCCATTTTGGTATCATCTGACCACAACACTTTCACCCAGTTCTCCTCTGAATCATTCAGATGTTCATCGGCAAACTTCAGACGGCCCTGTATATGTGCTTTCTTGAGCAGGGGGACCTTGCGGGCGCTACAGGATTTCAGTCCTTCACGGCGTAGTGTGTTACCAATTGTTTTCTTGGTGACTATGGTCCCAGCTGCCTTGAGATCATTGACAAGATCCTCCCGTGTAGTTCTGGGCTGATTCCTCACCGTTCTCATGATCATTGCAACTCCACAAGGTGAGATCTTGCATGGAGCCCCAGGCCGAGGGAGATTGACAGTTATTTTGTGTTTCTTCCTGTTGTCACCTTCTCACCAAGCTGCTTGGCGATGGTCTTGTAGCCCATTCCAGCCTTGTGTAGGTCTACAATCTTGTCCCTGACATCCTTGGAGAGCTCTTTGGTCTTGGCCATGGTGGAGAGTTTGGAATCTGATTGATTGATTGCTTCTGTGGACAGGTGTCTTTTATACAGGTAACAAACTGAGATTAGGAGCACTCCCTTTAAGAGTGTGCTCCTAATCTCAGCTCGTTACCTGTATAAAAGACACCTGGGAGCCAGAAATCTTTCTGATTGAGAGGGGGTCAAATACTTATTTCCCTCATTAAAATGCAAATCAATTTATAACATTTTTGACATGCGTTTTTCTGGATTTTGTTGTTGTTATTCTGTCTCTCACTGTTCAAATAAACCTACCATTAAAATTAAAGACTGATCATTTATTTGTCAGTGGGCAAACGTACAAAATCAGCAGGGGATCAACTACTTTTTTCCCCTCACTGTATGTGGTCAAGTCAGAAGAAAGTATAATAGACTTCCATTTAATTCTCACCATTAGTACTGAATCTGAGGAGACTTCTATTTAACTCTCACCATTAGTACTGAATATTAGGAGACTTCCATTTAACTCTCACCATTAGTACTGAATCTGAGGAATATCATTTTATACTAGGAATAAGTGAATTTGTTTTTCCACAGAATGACCAAAGGGCACATATGGAGATGTCATAATAATTTACAGTTATTAAATGTTGGTCTTGAATTAATCATAATATAACTCTTTGTAACCGTTCTATTAAATATTCTTAAATAAAACCGCTTGATGGGTCACACAGTTAGGAGGTTTGGATTTAGGAGGGTATTTAAAGGGTTTGGGGCAGATACAGTATTAGGAGGGTATTTGAAGGGTTTGGGCCAGATACAGTATTAGGAGGGTATTTAAAGGGTTTGGGCCAGATACAGTATTAGGAGGGTATTTAAAGGGTTTGGGCCAGATACAGTATTAGGAGGGTATTTAAAGGGTTTGGGGCAGATACAGTATTAGGAGGGTATTTAAAGGGTTTTGGCCAGATACAGTATTAGGAGGGTATTTAAAGGGTTTTGGCCAGATTCAGTATTAGGAGGGTATTTGAAGGGTTTGGGGCAGATACAGTATTAGGAGGGTATTTAAAGGGTTTGGGGCAGATACAGTATTAGGAGGGTATTTAAAGGGTTTGTGCCAGATACAGTATTAGGAGGGTATTTGAAGGGTTTGGGGCAGATACAGTATTAGGAGGGTATTTAAAGGGTTTGGGGCAGATCCAGTATTAGGAGGGTATTTAAAGGGTTTGGGCCAGATACAGTATTAGGAGGGTATTTGAAGGGTTTGGGGCAGATACAGTATTAGGAGGGTATTTGAAGGGTTTGGGGCAGATACAGTATTAGGAGGGTATTTAAAGGGTTTGGGGCAGATACAGTATTAGGAGGGTATTTAAAGGGTTTGTGCCAGATACAGTATTAGGAGGGTATTTGAAGGGTTTGGGGCAGATACAGTATTAGGAGGGTATTTAAAGGGTTTGGGGCAGATCCAGTATTAGGAGGGTATTTAAAGGGTTTGGGGCAGATCCAGTATTAGGAGGGTATTTAAAGGGTTTGGGCCAGATACAGTATTAGGAGGGTATTTGAAGGGTTTGGGGCAGATACAGTATTAGGAGGGTATTTAAAGGGTTTGGGGCAAATACAGTATAAGATAATAGGCTTCACCCAAACTATTTTTTAAGATACGCTTTCCCTTTCCTTGAGATTCCTGCTCCCTCCCTCCCCTCCATTCCTCCCATCCCTCCCAACCCCCTCCCTGCCTCCACCCTTCCCGTCCCATCCACGACTTCTACTCAGTCTGTTCTCAGCTGAAATCTGTTCATGATTTCTCTCTCTGTCTTTACTCTGCGCTCTAAGTGGGAGCAGGCCTGCGTCTCTCTCTAGCAGGGCCTGGGGCAGGCAGCGTTCCATGATTTCTCTCTGTCTTTACTCTGCGCTCTAAGTGGGAGCAGGCCTGCGTCTCTCTCTAGCAGGGCCTGGGGCAGGCAGCGTTGCATGATTTCTCTCTGTCTTTACTCTGCGCTCTAAGTGGGAGCAGGCCTGCATCTCTCTCTAGCAGGGCCCGAGGCAGGCAGCGTTCCATGCCGTCACGCACTCCAGACGCTCCAGCTTAACTGCGGTCTGGAGCACACAGGCATGGGGGTGCGGAATGCACATGCACTCAGAGGGGGATGGAGATGCGGGGGGGTGGGGGTAGTGAACAGGGCAAGGATCCCAAATAGCACCCAATACCCTATATAATGACCAGAGCCCTATGGGTCCCATTTGCCATTTAGGGTGCCATTTGGGATGCAGAGCAGAGGCTCTCTGCTGCTCCACTCATCAGGGGCCTCCCTCCATCTTTAGTCAGTCACAGGGCCTCATCAGGGGCCTCCCTCAATCTTTAGTCAGTCACAGGGCCTCATCAGGGGCCTCCCTCAATCTTTAGTCAGTCACAGGGCCTGATCAGGGGCCTCCCTCAATCTTTAGTCAGTCACAGGGCCTCATCAGGGCCCTCCCTCCATCTTTCCCAGTCATGTGAAATCCATAGATGAGGGCCTAATGAATTTATTTCAATTGACCGATTTCCTTATGAACTGTACCTCATTAAAATATTTTAAAATGGTTTTGTTTATATTTCTGTTCAGTATACATATTTAAAATCAGTAACAGGTAACAGGGCCTCTAATGAAAGCAGTCAATCCCCTTTACTGGAGGCACTGACTGGCTGGCTGTGTGTCTATGTACTAAATGGCACCCTATTCCCCATATAGTCCTTATGAGGCCTGGTCAAAAGTAGTGCACTAAATAGGGAATAAGGTGCCATTGGGGACGAAGACAGCCTGTCCCTCCATATGCATCCTGTGTTGAAGGGGTGAGTACATAAACAGGGTAAACTGGGATTGGATGGTATGCAGTGCACTACGGAGTATCTAATCATGTATTGGAGGTAGTTTATTTGATTCTGGGTGGGTGACTGTCAAACTAACACCCAAGTAAATGCCCTAGAAATGTTTACTGTGCAAGGCAAAAATGGAATGCACATTAAAAAAAAAAGAAGTTTATTTTACCTTTTTAAATGTTTGTACACTCAGTATGACAATGTGCTTACACAGTACTTACAGCAGAGTTGGGTGAAACTCCTTTTTGTACAGAAAATAAAAATCTGTCTCAAAACAAACAAAACAGAAAGATGCTGCAACCCCCACCACCAAAATAAACAAATTCAAACAAGAGGCCGTGAGAGTGGGTGGAATCCTGGCTTTAGCTGACGGAGGAAGAGGGCAGGGGGTGTGGAGTTGAGCTGCTGGAGCAGACAGGGGAACTCACGCGCCCCTAGTCCCCCCCCCGCGCCCCTAGTCCCCCCCCCCCCCCCCCTTTCATCCACCTGTGTTTGGTATAATTACACCTGGCTATTTACAGGTTATATCATGGACCAATAGTCCGTCATTTTACAAAGACTTTGCTTACTTAAACATTCTCAATATATTCACATACAAAGCAATATAATACATGTGTGTTTGAACATGGTTTTAATGCAATTTAAATGGTGGTGTGAGAGTTACCTAAATGATTAACGACCCCAAGCCTATGAACCTGTAACCCCGATGACAGGACACAAACCTTGTTACCCCGGAGACTAACGAGTAAAACAGCTTGTGTAGCAACAGGACGAGAGCACAGACGCCTCTGTGATGCCTGTCCAAAGGAATTATAATAGTAAAAAAAGACAAGGTGAAATAGACTTAAAATCACAACGCTACAACCCTTTGTGGAGGGGGGAGGGGGTATTTGGAACAGAGTGAGGTACACTGACTGACACATAAGCATCATGTGTGTCTGATGACAGCATCCAGATCCTGTTCACTTCATAGTACAAGTTAATAAAATACATAAAAACATTGATCAGTAACCCCCCCCTCCCCCGTTCCTTCTTCACCACTAAGTCCTTTTGAAGGCCCCGTCTGTCTGTCCAACCCACTACTTGATACATTCAGACCAGTAGGTGGACAGTAGAGTACAAGCTCCATAATAAAAGTTAATTCTTCAATCTTTTTTTTTACTCTGGGAGGGAGCATTGGAACATGGACTCCGTCCTTAATGGCACACTATTCCCAACATAGAGCTCTCGTAAAAAGTAGTGCGCTATGGGATTCCCCTATTGGCCCTGGTCAAAAGTAGTGCTCTATATAGGGAATATGGTGCCATTTGGTAAGCAGCCATGGAGGAATTCGTATAAAGACACCAGTCAGCATGACAGAACCGAACCCAGCCTCCATCAGAACCGAAACCAGCCTCCATCAGAACCGAAACCAGCCTCCATCAGAACCGAACCCAGCCTCCATCAAGCATTCATATAACAACAGAGGCTCCGGAGTCTTGTGGTCTGAAGGCAGGGAGGGCTTGGGGAGTAGAAAGCTTGGACTATCACAGCCCAGCTAAAAGCAGCACCAGATACCCTAGTCAAGGTCAATGGCTGGCTGGGGGGGGGAGATGATGGGCAGCCGGGCGCACCAGAGGAAAGCCAGTCAGTCATATGGATAAACAGATTCTTTAGTCTTTCTTTACATTGATCCATTTTGACCAGTTAATTCCCACTGCTGGACTTCATTACAGCAACATCCCAACATTGAAAAAACATTGAAGAGCAATTTAAAATCATGGTTTTTCAGCCAGGGGAGGAAGAGTTCTAGAGAGAATATATAGCTGAAAAGATGTTGAGAACATTGTTAGTTAGGTAACAAAGTTGAACTGGAAAAATGCAGAAAGCAAAACACGGTAGTGAGAATATAGTCAATGTAGCACCCCTCTCTGGGTCTGACTCCCAAATGGCACCCTATTCCCTATAAAGTGCATATATAGGGAATAGGGTGCCAGTTGAGATGCAGCCTAGGTGTCGCACACTTCTCTGTGGACACTTCACCTGGAGCCTCTGCCCCTTGTGAGACGCCTCCCTCAGCATCATCATGATTCTAGTCCCCGCCCCTAGTTCCCGGGTCAAGCCTTCAAGGCATCAGTTTAAGACCGTCTTTGTTAATTTAAATATGTCCTCCACATAAATGTGTGTGTGGAGCGATCCCACTTCCATAATCAAACACTGTTCAGTTTCACTGCTTGACTTGACTCCTACTTGGAGTGAGAAGAGTAAAAAGCTCATCTGTGTTCGGGTTTGAGTGTAGACTAATCATAGTTTCAAGTCTTGATCCCGGTTCTGTTCCTCCAGTCAGACACTTAGTCCAGCTCAGTGTCCTCTTTGGGCCGGTAGATGCTGCCAAACTTCTGCATGTATTTCTTGATGTACTCCTTGGTCTTGTGCTTGACGTTCTCGTTGCACTCCAGGTCCTCTGGGTTCTTGCAGGATTTCAGCTCCTTGTTCATCACACCGTGAGTTAGCTGGAGGGATGGAAAAGGGGAGAAAATAACAGGGAAAAAAGGAAGTCAGATGTTTCTACTTCCGGACAGCAAAATCGGTAACGGCTAACTTTCCCATAATTCCCAAGTTTTCAAGAAACCCTGGTTTGAAGATTCAGGATCTTCTGCTAATTCCGTCCTGATTTTGTGAGTCTTCCAACCAGGATTTCGGGAAAGTTATTGGAATTTTACAACCCTGCAACAACACAAAGTGAAACTAGCTCCATCAAAATGAGAATGGAGGGGAGGTCACACTGTGAAGAGATGAGGCTTTCATTCTAACTGATCCACTTCATGAGCTTAGTTCTCGTCTTAAAATGTAGACAGTCAAATGCCAGTGATGTATCCCAAATGGCACCCTAATCCCTATATAGTGCGCTACCTTTGACCAGGGCCCATACGGTGCCATTTGGGATGCACCCCAGCTCTTTATATAAGGAGTAAATACAAAACGTTAGCTAGCGCTCTAGTTTAAGACGTTTTGTTTTAAGGGTTGGTCTGCATGGTATAAAATTACAATTTGTACATGCCAGTGTACTTGGCCTCTCTTTTGTTTATTGTGACCATGTGCTCAAGAGCAGTGGCATGTCTCTCCATTTAAACAAGTCCCCACAGAAACGCTCAAAACTACTTGAGGGGAAAAAAATAGCCTTCTGCCTTTTGAAGAATGGCTGGCAGAGAGAGAGAGAGATACAAATAAAATAAAAACAGACCACTATTCTAAAATGTACAATGTGTCCCATTTGACCAAAAAATGAAGAAATAAAAAAAGTTTAAAACATTGACAGGGCTGTGTCCAAAATGGCACCATTTTCCCTACACAGTGCACTACTTTTTGACCAGAGCATATTGGTAGAAAGTAGTACACTATGTAGGAATAGGGTGCCATTTGGGATGAACCCAGAAACAGTGGGAGCTGAAGGCTCATGTGCTTAGTTCTGGTCTGGGGGAAGAGCTTTAGTGTGAGAGGTGAAGGGAAATACCTCTGTCCTTTGAAATTAATTTGCTATCCAGGACTTAAATTCAATACTGTTGGGAGAGGTCAATGTTTTGGATGGTTTGCGCCAATAAATTATGAATACCCAAATGATGGGCTTTCCACGCACGTACGCACGCACAACCACCTACCTTTCTGGCTAGGTGTTTGAAATCCTCAGTGTTGATGATGCGTCCCAGTTTGCAGTCTGGTTTCCGGAACGGGTTCAAGCAGGTCACAATGAACTGGGACATCTAATCATAACACAGAAAATTGGACGTCAAATCGTCATGTAGAGATAACATTTATTACATTTTTCAGTCATTTAGCAGACGCTCTTATCCAGAGCGACTTACAAGTGCATTCATAGATAGCTAGGTGGGATAACCACATATCTGTCATAGTAAGCTGGGCTTGACATTAACTTTTTTTTGCCACTTGTGAAATGTGCAAACGCGCGAGGCTTTGATCTCAAAAACACATCTCGCGACTGCATGATTGAAAGACCGCTCGTGCCTGTCAACGCAGGCCTACCATAATTATACTCTGATACGCTCTGCAAAGATTGGTAGGACATTGAGCAAAACATTGCATCCAGACGACACTTTGATCCGTTTCTGATCGGAGTAGCCTAATTGTTTGATATTGTGATTTTTGCGTGATTTTTTTACTTGTCCATTCAGACAACAAATCTACACTGAGTGTACAAAACATTAGGAACACCTTCCTAATATTGAGTTGCACCCCCTTTTGCCCTCAGAACAGCCTCAATTCGTCGGGGCATGGACTCTACAAGGTGTCGAAAATGTTCCACAGGGATGCGGGCCCATGTTGACTCCAATGCTTCCCACAGTTGTGTCAAGTTGGCTGGATGTCCGTTGGATGGTGGACCATTCTTGATACACATGGGAAACTGTTGATGGAAAGAGCAGGAGTTCCTAATGTTTTTTACACTCAGTGTATAATCTGCTTGTCCAACTATGTTTTTTACTTGCCCCGGGCAAGTGGACAAGCGTTAATGTCGAACCTTGGTAAGTACATTGTTTCTCAATAAAGCAGCTTTCAGCAAATTCAGAGTTAGTAAGAAAAGCCTAGCGCAAGTATTTAGTTTAAGAAAGGCCATTTAAAAAATATATACAGTGCATTCGGAAAGTATTCAGAACCCTTGACGTTTTCCACATTTTGTTACGTTACAGCCTCCCATTTTTCATTGCAGATCCTCTCATGCTCTGTCAGGTTGGATGGGGAGCGTTGCTGCACATCTATTTTCAGGTCTCTCCAGAGATGTTCGATCGGGTTCAAGTCTGGGCTCTGGCTGGGTGCTTAGGGTCGTTGCCCTGTTAGAAGGTGAACCTTCGCCTCAGTCTGAGGTCCTGAGCGCTCTGGAGCAGGTTTTTCATCAAGGATCTCTCTGTACTTTGCTCCGTTCATCATTCCCTCAATCCTGACTAGTCTCCCAGTCCCTGCCGCTGAAAAACATCCCCAAAGCATGATGCTGCCACCACCATGCTTCACTGTAGAGATGGTGCAAAGTTTCCTCCAGATGTGACGCTTGGCATTCAGGCCAAAGAGTTCAATCTTGGTTTCATCAGACCAGAGAATCTTGTTTCTCAAGGTCTGAGAGTCCTTTGGTGGAGGAGGAATAATGGTCTGGGGCTGTTTTTCATGGTTCGGGCTAGACCCCTTTAGTTCCAGTGAAGGGAAATCTTAATGCTACAGCATACAATGACTTTCGAGACGATTCTGTGCTTCCTACTTTGTGGCAACAGTTTGGAGATGGCCCTTTCCTGTTTCAGCATGACAATGCCCCCGTGCACAAAGCGAGGTCCATACAGAAATGGTTTGTCGAGATCGGTGTGGAAGAACTTGACTTGCGTGCACAGAGCCCTGACCTCAACCCCATCGAACACCTTTGGGATGAATTGGAACGCCGACTGCAAGCCAGGCCTAATCGCCCAACATCAGTGCCCGACCTCACTAATGCTCGTGGCTGAATGGAAGCAAGTCCCTGCAGTAATGTTCCAACATCTAGTGGAAAGCCTTCCCAGAAGATTGGAGGCTGTTATAGCAGCAAAGGGGGGACCAACTCAATATTAATGCCCGTGATTTTGGAATGAGATGTTCGACAAGCAGGTGTCCACATATTTTGACCATGTAGTGTAGTTGAGGAGGAGGCATCACAGGAAGACTAATTGAGATATAGACGTTGACTCACCTCTTTCCGGAACGTCTCCTTGCTCCTCTTGGCCAGCTCACTGGATGTGTCTGCCTCTGCCGTCTTAGTAGAGAACTGTGGAAACACACACACACACACACACACACACACACACAGAGAGGGAGAGAGAGAGGTCAGGGAACATGTCTGTCTATAGAACAGTCAAGTTTAGTTTGACTAGCTTGGGTTGGCCGTGGGTTCATCTAAACGTTCGCCTAGCAATCTGTCTAGGTCATAGCTACTGCCATTTTCTCAGCTGTGGCAGACAGCAGCCATTTCTCGGAGCTAAAAGCCCCAGATCAAAGGAAGTGAGGCTGTATCAGCCACACCATACCATGGAGGCCATGGATGAAACATGGCAGGTGTTGGGCTAAGGCCCTGGACTTCAAGGCCGGTGGGGAAGGCAGTCAGGCGGGCCACACCTGGTCACCAGCAACCTCCAACAGGACAGGAGGGAGCCACACAAAGCAGGGATATCCTGCCAGGATAAAGGCTGGGCTCCATCTCCGGCTAACAGTCCCCACCCCCCTCAGCCCCAGAGACAGCCAGTAGACAGCTGATGCCCTGCCTCCCCCAGCCCCAGAGACAGCTGATGCGCTGCCTCCCCCAGCCCCCCCAGTACCAGAGACAGCCAGTAGACAGTTGATGCCCCCCTCACAGCACCAGAGACAGCCAGTAGACAGTTGATTCCCCCCCCAGCACCAGAGACAGCTGATGCCCCCGCCCCCCAGCACCAGAGACAGCCAGTAGACAGTTGATATCCCCCCCAGCACCAGAGACAGCCAGTAGACAGTTGATGCCCCCCCAGCACCAGAGACAGCCAGTAGACAGTTGATGCCCCCCCAGCACCAGAGACAGCTGATGCCCCCCCAGCACCAGAGACAGCCAGTAGACAGTTGATGCCCCCCCCCCCCCCCCCCAGCACCAGAGACAGCCAGTAGACAGTTGATGCCCCCCCCAGCACCAGAGACAGCCAGTAGACAGTTGATGCCCCCCCAGCACCAGAGACAGCCAGTAGACAGTTGATGCCCCCCCCCAGCACCAGAGACAGCCAGTAGACAGTTGATGTCCCCCCCAGCACCAGAGACAGCCAGTAGACAGTTGATGCCCCCCCCAGCACCAGAGACAGCCAGTAGACAGTTGATGCCCCCCCCCAGCACCAGAGACAGCCAGTAGACAGTTGATGCCCCCCCCAGCACCAGAGACAGCTGATGCCCTCCCCCAGCACCAGAGACAGCCAGTAGACAGTTGATGCCCCCCCAGCACCAGAGACAGCCAGTAGACAGTTGATGCCCCCCCAGCACCAGAGACAGCCAGTAGACAGTTGTTCCCCCCCCAGCACCAGAGACAGCCAGTAGACAGTTGTTCCCCCCCACCAGCACCAGAGACAGCTGATGCCCCCCCCACCAGCACCAGAGACAGCTGATGCCCCCCCCCCCCCCCCCCCCCCACCAGCACCAGAGACAGCTGATGCCCCCCCCCACCAGCACCAGCCAGTAGACAGTTGATGCCCCCCCCAGCACCAGAGACAGCCAGTAGACATTCGATGCCCCCCCCCCAGCACCAGAGACAGCTGATGCACCCCCCCAGCACCAGAGACAGCCAGTAGACAGTTGATGTCCCCCCCAGCACCAGAGACAGCCAGTAGACAGTTGATGCCCCCCCAGCACCAGAGACAGCCAGTAGACAGTTGATGCCCCCCCCCCAGCACCAGAGACAGCCAGTAGACAGTTGATAACCCCCCAGCACCAGAGACAGCCAGTAGACAGTTGATGCCCCCCCCAGCACCAGAGACAGCTGATGCCCCCCCAGCACCAGAGACAGCCAGTAGACAGTTGATGTCCCCCCCAGCACCAGAGACAGCCAGTAGACAGTTGATGTTCCCCCCAGCCCCCCCCAGCACCAGAGACAGCCAGTAGACAGTTGATGCCCCCCCAGCACCAGAGACAGCCAGTAGACAGTTGATGCCCCCCCGCCACAGCTGATCCCCCCAGCACCAGAACAGCCATGACAGTTGATGCCCCCCCAGCACCAGAGACAGCCAGTAGACAGTTTTAATAGCATGTGCCCCCCCCAGCACCAGAGACAGCCAGTAGACAGTTGATGCCCCACCAGCACCAGAGCAGCCAGATGACAGTTGACTGCCCCCCCCAACAGCCAGAGACAGCTGATGCCCCCCACCAGCACCACAGCTGACCGTTGCCCCCCACACCAGCACCAGAGACCTATGCCCCCCAGCACAGAGACAGCTGATGCCCCCCCACCAGACTACCAGTAGAATTGATGCCCCCCCCCCGCGACACAGAGACAGTTGATGCACCCCCCCCAGCACCAGAGACAGCCAGTGACATTGATGCCCCCCAGCACCAGAGACAGCCAGTAGACAGTTGATGCCCCCCCCCAGCACCAGAGACAGCCAGTAGACAGTTGATGCCCCCCCCAGCACCAGAGACAGCCAGTACAGTTGATGTCCCCCCCAGCACCAGAGACAGCCAGTAGACAGTTGATGTCCCCCCCAGCACCAGAGACAGCCAGTAGACAGCTGATGCCCCCCCCCCCCCCACCAGCACCAGAGACAGCCAGTAGACAGCTGATGCCCCCCCCTACCAGCACCAGAGACAGACAGTAGACAGTTGATGCCCCCCATGCCCCAAACCAGGGTGGAGGATCAAAGAGAACCACAATGGATTCTCACACAGCTCTCCTCCGTGCTTCCTGGGGGTGGTGATTCTCACACAGCTCTCCTCCGTGCTTCCTGGGGGTGGTGATTCTCACACAGCTCTCCTCCGTGCTTCCTTAGGGGTGGTGATTATCACACAGCTCTCCTCCGTGCTTCCTGAGGGGTGGTGATTATCACACAGCTCTCCTCCGTGCTTCCTGAGGGGTGGTGATTATCACACAGCTCTCCTCCGTGCTTCCTGAGGGGTGGTGTGCCCATGGAGCGTACCAGGGAGAAGCATTCAGGCTGACAAGAGAACACTTTGAGCCAGTGTTTAACCTAGATTATTTTCCAGGTGGGATGCAAAGCCCCCTAACCAAAACGCCAAATTATTATCATGGGTCAACAGAGCTAGGGAAAATAATATTTAAGTGGTGTCAGAAACTCAGTGGGTATCATTTCAGGTCCTGGTCAGTGGGCACAGAGACAGACACCACTATCAAGACATGTTGGAAATGGTCCTTGAGCTCATTGCTTTTATTGGCCGAAGACATCATTGTAAACATAGAGAGAGATCGAGACATCCCATCGTTTAAAGAAAGGGTTTCTCCCGCTCTGTGGAGACACATCTGAAAACATTTCAGCTCAGAGACAAAAGGGCCCGGTCCGTAGTTAGACACTAAACCAAGAAACCACAAACCTCAGACGGTTTCCATTATGATCAAAGGAAGAGAAGAAAAGAGGGAAAACAAACTAGAGAGAAAGAGGAGAGAACGAGAGAGAGAACGAGAGAAAGAGAGAAAACGAGAAAGAAAGAGAACGAGAGAGAAAGAGAGAAAGAGAGAGAGAGAGAGAAAGACATAATAACCATGCCCACACCCCATATAGGCCCCCTCAGATCAGACCTATGACCCTCTTGCCCACCCCATGCCCTCCACTCCCGCAAAGAGGGCCTCAACATGAAAGTCACACATTCGCCCAGGCCCAACCCCCACTCTTACACTAGCCCAAGCCAATGGCATGTACCAGATGCTCAGCAGGCTCTGCTCACACTTACTGGTCTGAGGCCAAAACACGACTAGCAACATTTGACACTTTATGGAACACAAAGCCTTCACTTTCTCATCCTGGAATATCCTAGGCCTGAGGTCATCTGCCTTTGGCCTAAAGAGCAGGAACCCAGACTTCACCAAAGAAATACAGACATTGTCATCCTACAAGAAACATGGTATAGAGATGGACCGGACCCACTGGTCACCCCCTAGGTTACAGGTGTGAAACAGGGAAGGGACTCAGGGGGTATGCTAATTTGGTATAGAGCAGACCTAACTCACTCTATTAAATTAATCAAAACAGGAACATTTTACATTTGGCTAGAAATTCAAAAGGAAATTATTTTAGAGACAAATGTCCTCCTGTGTGCTACCTATATCCCCCCACTAAAGTCCCTATACTTTAATGAAGACAGCTTCTCCATCCTGGAGGGGGAAATCAATATTTTCCAAGCCCAGGGACATGTACTAGTCTGTGGTGATAAACACCTACCTGGAGGTGACAGCATTCCCTCCCCCATATGATTTGATAGGGGTGTCAGTGGGCTGACTGAACACTCTGAGAGACTCTGGGTTGAGGTCAGTGATACAGTAGTCTACAGTACTACTGCCAAGAGATGAGTCCCCTTGAAGCCTACCATTGACTATGTACATACCCAGCGTGCGACCGAGCTGCAGGAGTTGTGACCCATTTTTGTTGGTTATGTTGTCGTAGTTGTGCCTAGGGGGGCATATGGGGGAGGGAATGCTGTCACCTCCAGGTAGGTGTTTATCACCACAGACTAGTACATGTCCAATTACGTCAGAAATCAGTTCAATGTAATTGAAGAATCCATAGAATCTAACCACTTCTGGGAAAATTCTAAACAAACAACACGAAGAGTTATCTATCCTAAACGGAGATGTGTGGATAAACCACTTCTCCAATCTTTTTGGCACTTTAACAAAAAACAAAACTACAAAAACATATACATGATCAAATACAAATCAACTATTAAAAGACTACCAGAACCCACTGGATTCTCCAATTACATTGAATGAACTACAGGACATTGAATTGAGAGCGTGAGAGATACAGAGAGAGCCAGGCAGACAGACGAGCCAGGCAGACAGACGAGCCAGGCAGACAGACGAGCCAGGCAGACAGACGAGCCAGGCAGACAGACGAGCCAGGCAGAAGGAGAATGGGAAAGAAACTACAGAGAAGAGGAGTCAAGCCATCCCCACCCTGACTGAGTACCTAGAGGACAGCCAGCTGTCTGAGCCCGAGTCTACATCCCAAATGACACCATATTCCATATATAGTGCACTACTTTTGAACAGGGCCCATAGGGTGTAGTGTGTTATCTGGGGATAGGGTGCCATTTGGGATGCAACCTGGGCCTGAGGAGGGAGGTACGGGAGCGAAGCAGGAATGATGTGTGGGTTTGGATGGTCTCCTCTTCTGCTCCTAAACCTAGATCCCCACCACCTTCAGATGTTGATGAAGCTCTTTTAAGATGTGATCCACTGTATCTCCAGCTAGAGGTATAGTGTCTGGCTGCGTCCCGAATGGCACCCTCTCCCATATATAGTGCACTACTTTAGACCAGGGCCCATAGGGTAGTGGTGCACTATGTAGGGAATAGGGTGCCATTTGGGGATGCAGCCTCTGTCTGACGCTCTAGACTAGAGGCCCTTGGGGGGGTTCATTTTCTCTATCCCAGAGAGGAACCAACCAACCCACAGCTGAAAATAATCACTTTTGCAACATCTTCAATTAACTGATGGGAGGAACACTATCATCATGTTTCGCACGCAAGCATTCTGGGAAGCAAACGAAAATAAACAAACTATTTTGCATTTGAACAGATGAGTTAGAGTAGCTCTGTTTTCACTCCATCATCTTTTAGAAACTCTCTGGAGGCAACAAAACACAAGGCAATATAATGGATATTATACAAGGGTTTCTACTCCTAGCCTCACAGCACTAGGGGCGAGGACCTAAAGACTGTATGGATGGAACTCTGCTGACGATGTCACACCCTAGTCCCTGGACAGTGCACTACATTTGACAAGAGTCCTGTGTGAATCTGATTCAAACATGAGATTTGGGCCCTATTCAAATACCTTAAAAACCACCCACCCTCCTCCCTTCCTTCTGGAAATCACTGACCTACCAGTAAGATTGGTAAAAGTAATGAGATGGAAGGAAGCCATGTTTTCATCTATCAACTGACATCCAGATCAGTAACCAGGTTTCCATCCAACCTTTAATGCCAGTAAAGTACATGTCAGATAAAAAAATGTAATGACAGGCCTGATGGAAACAGAACATTTTTCGGTAAACGTTTCAAATGTCAACAAAACAAAACACTCTTTTTGCATCGGTAAAATGAAATATGTGAGACATGTCGGCGGAATCGCTTTTATGCTCAAATATTGATATAATAACCATCATATCGAAGTAAACTTGGAGTCACGCGATGACGTGTGGTCCTCCCACTGACTCGTCAGGAAAGCATGCAGTGTATTAGGCTACAGATGAAATAAATGATGATGGTGACAGTGCAACGTGATGAGCTTGATGCTCCTTTCTAATAAATATCGAAGGTCTTATTCTGGTGACATAATAATCTATGCTTGGCTGCCATTTGACAAATAAAAAGAATCTCGCTCTTTTGTCCATAATAATAATCCCATCATGTAGGCTATACGTGCACTCTAGCCAACAGCACTAACAACAGAGTGGGCACACTCGCTATATAACGAAAAACATTGTGTCAAAACCATCAGTAGAGTGTAAATTGTGATGGAAACCCATTTAACTTGTATTTATTATTTTGGTACACGGGAAAAAAAAGTATTTAATGTGCACTATGTCATCACGCACAGCCTTTCATCTGCAACAAGTCAATTTGATGGAAACATCTCTGAAGGGAAAATGCGCATATGGTTTTTATGCAGATTTTAGAATATTGGCATGAAAATCTATCGCCAATTGGATGGAAACCTAGCTAGTGATTATATCAAGGAAGGAAGGATGCATTTTAAAAGGCCTTGGCCTGTGTGTTTTCAGGGTCAAAGGTCACCTTGGAGGGGTTCTCGTCGTAGGTGGGCGTCCCCAGGTCCATCTCAGCCTCGTGGTCTAAGCTGTGTGCGTCTTCACTGGCCCCGTCCCAGCTGCTGGGAGGATCCCACTGAGTCTGCCTGTGGGGGGAGGGGGGTAGATACACACACAATAAGACACACAGTCACACAATTCCAGGCAGACAAAACGCAGCCAGACACACAGACAAAGTCACACACACACGCAGACAGACAAGCTGACAGACACACACACAGTCACAAAAGCAGACAGATAGACAGGCAGACAGGTAGGCAGAGGCAGTCACACACACAGGGAGTGACCTACATGAACCACAGCCATGTGTAGCCTACCAGGTGATGACAGATACAGGAGGCCATGTGTAGCCTACCAGGTGATGACAGACACAGGAGGCCATGTGTAGCCTACCAGGTGATGACAGACACAGAAGGCCATGTGTAGCCTACCAGGTGATGACAGACACAGAAGGCCATGTGTAGCCTACCAGGTGATGACAGACACAGGAGGCCATGTGTAGCCTACCAGGTGATGACAGACACAGGAGGCCATGTGTAGCCTACCAGGTGATGACAGACACAGGAGGCCATATGTAGCCTACCTGGTGATGACGTGGTAGTAGTAGATCTTTCCCTCTCCGTCCCGTGCTACCTTCCAGCTGGGGGGCAGGACGATGGTTTTGGGTTTGGGAGGAGAGGGAGGCGGCAGGTCTATCATACTGTTGGGGACTAACACAGTGTTGGGCAACTCCTGGACAGAATAAAAGAGGCAGGTGAACATACATCAAGTCTCCTGGAGTGATTAAAAAACAACTGTTTACTAGGCCTACATCATGATAGAAAACAGTATGAATCTGCAAACCTCTCTTCACTGTGATGGACAAGAATCAAGACTGACTATCACGTTGATGCACACACTGCCTCCCCCTTGTGGCTAGCTTGGGGTAGGGTACGGGCAGACAGATTTGGTGTATGACATAGTGAGCAAATGTTTTTTTTTTGAACGGGAGTCATCCACTGATGGACGATGGACAACTGAGATGATGCACATTATGTCGACCTTTGTGAGTATGCAACTAGTCTGAAAGTATTGACTTTGGTTGAAGTTTTGACAGACAAATACGGACAACGATGAATGAATATATAATTTCATCAGTGTTCATGCGTCTGGGTCTGGTTGTTGCTGAAGGCCTTCCTTACCTGCTGGACAGTCTGTGAGGTGACGATGGTAGTGACCGTGCCCCCCTGCTGAACCACCACTCCCTGCTGGTGACCTGTGTACACCGGCTGACCATGGAGGTAGCTGGCAGCCGGATCAGAGTACGCCTAGCCAGAACAGGATTGATAGACACACAGAGGTCACAGATATCACACAGATACTCAAATAGAGAAAAACCTTCAGATCTAGTCATGAAACAGGTCTTTCAGCCTGCGTTGCTTGGAAGCCTTTATCAACGCAGGGCGATATGTGTTGACTGTTCAGTACACGGTGCAGTGTGTGCCTACCTGCAGGACAGGTGTGTTGGCCTGTGGGTAGGCAGTGGGGATACTGTAGATGGTCTGACAGGGCTGGCCCTGATAGTAGATGGCTGTCTGGGTGGGAGGAGGTGCTGGGACAACCTGGTACTGTGGTGCTATCTGGGTCTGTACTGTCACAGCCTGCTGGGTGGTAGGGTCCCACAGCGTGGTGTAACTCCCCTGGCCCGCCGACACCTACAACAATATTAGAAGAATACAGGACGTTGAGTTAGGGGACCAGCTAGAATTTGCAACTCGCACAGCCAAGTCAAAGGGTTGCAAAATGGCACCAAATGGTAGCACTCTGGAGCCCTGAATAATAACAAATGTTATTTCGAGCGCTTTTTAAAACGTCGAAAGTCACTTTGCGATAAAAGCAATAAAAACCCATTAAAATCATCACGAATATAAAAATAGAGCACCTGAGGGGGCGCTGACACGGCAGGCACTGACAGGACGGCTACACCAGGGTCCTGGCCTGCCACGCTGGGCTGCAGGGTGTACTGCTGGGGCGTGCCGCGGTGGAGCTCCAGAGGGGCGGTGGGTTGCTGGATGTGTTGGGGGAGGCTGGACAGGTTGGATACTGGAGGGGGCTGGGAGGTGGAGGAGGGAGAGGCCATGCCCAGCTCGGTGATCAGAGCCTGGGGAGGGGTCTGCTCGAAGGCCAGGGTGGCTGGGACCAGGGGCTCCACAGGAGGAGTAGGCAGCAACACCTTGCCTGCGTTGGGGTTGATGGGGTCCACGTAGGTCTGGAGGGGGTAGCCGGGGGGGTAGTGAAGGAAGCCAGCTGGGCTGGTAGTGTAGGTCAGGGCTGCATCGTAGGCTAGAGTCTGGAGCTGTTGCTGCTGCTGTTGTTGTTGTTGTTGTTGTTGCTGCTGCTGTTGTAACTGTTGTTGCTGTTTCTGGGCCTCACGCTGGGCCACCTCCTGTTCAAACAGCTTCCTGCGCTCCTCTGTGGACAGCTTGGTGCGCTCCTTGGTGATGGTACGGCTCTTCTTACTGCTGTTAGCCAGGTCAAACCTAGAAACACACAGTCAATACTACTGTCTACGGAGATCAACAGAACACTACAGACATTTCTAAAAGTCAACAACAGTTTTGGTCTGCGTCCCAAATGGCACCGTATTCCCTATAGTACACTACTTCTGGGGACAGGGTGCAATTTGAAAAGGAGCCTAAAGTCAACAAGAGTTTTGTTTACAAAAACGTTGCACTGTTATAGAATGACTTATGACTGAATTGAATTTCTAATCAAATTACATTTGATCATCCATAGCTAGTCAGTCTCTATATGAGCATGTTGGTGTTCCAGCCAGTCCTACCGGTCCTCGTTACGCCTGCTGCTCCGCTCGTATGCTGAGGGCGGGGGGGAGGTGGAGGCACGTCTCCTCCGTCTCTCTGTGCTGCGGGGTGTCTTCTCGGAGTCTCTGTCCCAGTCTCGCTCTCTGTCCCTCTCCCTGTCTCGCTCCCAATCTCTGTCCCTTTCTCTGTCACGCTCCCTGTCCCGGTCTCTGTCTCGATCTCGTTCCCTGTCCCTCTCCTTGTCCCGCTCCCTCTCACGTTCCCGGCTGCCGGAGGGGGTGCGAGCCGGGGCCAGGGCAGCGTCTCGGTCTCGACTACGATCTGTATACATGGGACAATCAAACAGGTTAAAGCCTCATCAAATGGTAGGCTGTTAGCACTGCAGAAAATAAAGCGTTACAATGTAACAGATGTGGACACAGAGCTAGCGAGAGTGAGAGAAAGAGCGAGAGAGAGCGGGAGAGAGAGAGGGGGAGAGAGTAACGAGAGAGAGAGAGAGAGGAGAGGAGAGAGAGAGAGAGAGAGAGAGAGAGATGATAGAGAGGGAGGGAGAGAGAGAGAGAGAAGAGATGAGGAGAGAGGAGAGAGAGAGGGAGAGAGAGAGAGAGGCAGAGAGAGAGGAGAGAGAGGAGAGAGGGGGGGGGAGAGAGAGAGAGAGAGAGAGGAGAGGAGAAGGAGAGAGAGAGTGAGGGGAGAGAGAAGGAGCGGAGAGTGAGGAGAAGGGAGAGAGGAGAGAAGAGAGAGAGCGAAACGATGAGGAGAGAGGAGGAGAGAGGAGAAGAGAGGAGGGGAGAAGGGGAGAGAGGGAGAGAGAGAGAGAGAGAGAGACGAGAGAGAGAGAGAGAGGAGAGAGAGGGAGAGAGACTGAGAGGGGGGAGAGACCTACCGTGTGTCTCCTTCTCCACCTGGCTCTTCTTGGGGATCCTGTACACCTCCTGAAGGATGAGTCACAAACCACACATGTAAATAACAATCATCTCAGTGTGTGTGTGTGTGTATGTATGTATATATATACAGTGGGGAAAAAAAGTATTTAGTCAGCCACCAATTGTGCAAGTTCTCCCACTTAAAAAGATGAGAGAGGCCTGTAATTTTCATCATAGGTACACGTCAACTATGACAGACAAAATGAGAAAAAAAAATCCAGAAAATCACATTGTAGGATTTTTAATGAATTTATTTGCAAATTATGGTGGAAAATAAGTATTTGGTCACCTACAAACAAGCAAGATTTCTGGCTCTCACAGACCTGTAACTTCTTCTTTCAGAGGCTCCTCTGTCCTCCACTCGTTACCTGTATTAATGGCACCTGTTTGAACTTGTTATCAGTATAAAAGACACCTGTCCACAACCTCAAACAGTCACACTCCAAACTCCACTATGGCCAAGACCAAAGAGCTGTCAAAGGACACCAGAAACCAGAATTGTAGACCTGCACCAGGCTGGGAAGACTGAATCTGCAATAGGTAAGCAGCTTGGTTTGAAGAAATCAACTGTGGGAGCAATTATTAGGAAATGGAAGACATACAAGACCACTGATAATCTCCCTCGATCTGGGGCTCCACGCAAGATCTCACCCCGTGGGGTCAAAATGATCACAAGAACGGTGAGCAAAAATCCCAGAACCACACAGGGGGACCTAGTGAATGACCGGCAGAGAGCTGGGACCAAAGTAACAAAGCCTACCATCAGTAACACACTACGCCGCCAGGGACTCAAATCCTGCAGTGGCAGACGTGTCCCCCTGCTTAAGCCAGTACATGTCCAGGCCCGTCTGAAGTTTGCTAGAGTGCATTTGGATGATCCAGAAGAGGATTGGGAGAATGTCATATGGTCAGATGAAACCAAAATATAACTTTTTGGTTAAAAAAAACTCAACTCGTCGTGTTTGGAGGACAAAGAATGCTGAGTTCCATCCAAAGAACACCATACCTACTGTGAAGCATGGGGGTGGAAACATCATGCTTTGGGGCTGTTTTTCTGCAAAGGGACCAGGACGACTGATCCGTGTAAAGGAAAGAATGAATGGGGCCATGTTTTGTGAGATTTTGAGTGAAAACCTCCTTCCATCAGCAAGGGCATTGAAGATGAAACGTGGCTGGGTCTTTCAGCATGACAATGATCCCAAATACACCGCCTGGGCAACGAAGGAGTGGCTTCGTAAGAAGCATTTCAAGGTCCTGGAGTGGCCTAGCCAGTCTCCAGATCTCAACCCCATAGAAAATCTTTGAAGGGAGTTGAAAGTCCGTGTTGCCCAGCGACAGCCCCAAAACATCACTGCTCTAGAGGAGATCTGCATGAAAGAATGGGCCAAAATACCAGCAACAGTGTGTGAAAACCTTGTGAAGAGTTACAGAAAACGTTTGACCTGTGTCATTGCCAACAAAGGGTATATAACAAAGTATTGAGAAACTTTTGTTATTGACCAAATACTTATTTTCCACCATAATTTGCAAATAAATTCATAAAAAATCCTACAATGTGATTTTCTGGAATTTCTTTTCTCATTTTGTCTGTCATAGTTGACGTGTACCTATGATGAAAATTACAGGCCTCTCTCATCTTTTTAAGTGGGAGAACTTGCACAATTGGTGGCTGACTAAATTCTTTTTTCCCCCACTGTATACACACACACACACATCTGTGTGTGTGTGTTAATCAGTGTTTCCATGTGTCCTTGCCTTCAGGTCCCTCCAGCTGTCCAGTAACCTAGCAGCCATGTCTCCTATATCCACAGCTCTGAGCTGGGGCTCCTGGCTCCTCTCACTCTCCACATCAGACACACCCTCCTCCTCATCCTGCGAGGGCGTCCCCACTGCCGTAGGCTCCACGGGGACCACCGGAGAGGGAGGTGGAGGGGCCTCCGAGGCTGGGGTCACTACCTGGGCAGTGTCCTCAGTGCCAGGGGCCACCTCCGGGGGAACCTCAGGGGCCACCTGGCCTGGCTGTTCCTGGCTGCCTGGAGCCTTCTCAGCATCTTCAGTCCCGGTCTCTGCTGTGGTGGTCTCCTCCTTCTCCCCAGCAGGATGCTCCTCTGAAGGGGTCTCAGTAACTTCCGTCTGAACTGGCTCAATCTGTGATGATTCCTGGACCTGGACCTCCATGTTGGCCTGCTCTCCCGCCACAACCTCACTCTCCTCCATTGACTGACTTGCATGCTCCTCCTCTCCGTTCTTCTGTCCCTCACTCCACTCGTCTTTCACCCCCTCCTCCTGATCTTTAGCGTCTTGGCTCTCAGCTTTGGGTTCTGTGACCTCCATGGCCTCCACTACCACCTCTGGTGTCTCCTTCAGCTCTGTGACTGGCTCTTCTGTTGGCTCCTCCGTTGTGGGAGTCTGGGCCTCAACCACGGCCTGGGCCTGGGCCTCAACCACCGGCTCGGCCTGGGCCTGGGCCTCAACCACCGGCTCGGCCTGGGCCTGGGCCTCAACCACCGGCTCGGCCTGGGCCTCAACCACCGGCTCGGCCTGGGCCTGGGCCTCAACCACCGGCTCGGCCTGGGCCTCAACCACCGGCTCGGCCTGGGCCTGGGCCTCAACCACCGGCTCGGCCTGGGCCTGGGCCTCAACCACCGGCTCGGCCTGGGCCTGGGCCTCAACCACCGGCTCGGCCTGGGCCTGGGCCTCAACCACCGGCTCAGTCTGGGCCTGGGCCTCAACCACCGGCTCAGTCTGGGCCTGGGCCTCAACCACCGGCTCAGTCTGGGCCTGGGCCTCAACCACCGGCTCAGTCTGGGCCTGGGCCTCAACCACCGGCTCAGTCTGGGCCTGGGCCTCAACCACCGGCTCAGTCTGTGCCCGTTTGCTGCTCTCCACTGGAGGCTCAGATCGTGAGGCCTCCTCATCCTCCATCTCCTCTTCATCCTCCTCTTCCTCCTCCTTACCGTCCGAGGCCTTGCTGGCGTCCGACATGGCGCTGTCCAGGCTGTTCTCGCTGATCTTGAGGCGACGGTACACGGCCCGTTTGGGGGTGTCACTGTCCAGCTCAGGGCCCAGTTTGGGGGTGTCACTGTCCAGCTCAGGGCCCAGTTTGGCGACTGAGGCAGAGGAGCCGTCGGGAGTGTTGAGAGGGGTCTGGGCGCGGGACGTGTTCTCACTGGAGTAGCCGTCCTGGTCAGCCCCGGGGGGCTGGGGGAGGGAGTGTGTGTGTGTCTGGGCCCAGCGCTGGATGAGGCTCAGGACATGACTCTCCTCCAACATGTTCTTAGTGGAGATAGGCAATACTGACAGGGTCTTCATGATCTGGAGACACAGGGAATGGTCAGTAGTTGGTTAACATACATTTCTTGTTTGGATATTCCTAGGACCTTTGAATTAAAATCATCTGAATTGGTTTAGTCCAAAGTGTATCCTCACATACAGTACCAGTCAAAAGTTTGGACACCTACTCATTCCAGGGTTTTCCTTTATTTTAACTATTTTCTACATTGTAGAATAATAGTGAAGACATCAAAACTATTAAATAACACATATGGAATCATGTAGTAACCAAAAAAAAGTGTTAAACAAATCAAAATATATGTTATATTTGAGATTCTTCAAATAGCCACCCTTTGCCTTGATGACAGCTTTGCACACTCTTGGCATTCTCTCAACCAGCTTCACCTGGAATGTTTTAAAAGTTCAACCCCAAATGGATTTAATTGTCACCTGAAACTGCAGTTTGATGTTGTTGACACTGTTGCCCTTGGCTTCAGAGAGCTCCACCATGAAGATCCACAGTAGAGACAGACCGTGATGGTCCAGGAACTGCTTCAGGCAGGACGGGCTCTGGGTATCCTGTTCATACAAACAACCAAGTCAACATTATGACAGAGAAAAACCTTCCTCCTGAGACTCACTTCAAACCCTTCAGTGCCAATGTATCTGTGGGTCTCAGTGGGGTCTCAAGCCCAAATCACACAGAGCGACATCAACGGCGTCAAACTTTGCGTGCGAGAGTTAAGAGCGTCTATTCACATACACTGTAAAGCGTATGCCAACTTAATGTCATGAGAATCCATAATAAACAGTTGTATTTGTTATGTTCGCTATGTAGCCCTTGTGAATTATTGTTGTGTGTTCTTTTGACTCACCTTATATGTCCTACAGGAGCCACCGTACCTGCCTGCCTCTAAACAGTTGTTATACGTTAGAATGTGAGGACAGTTGTAGCTAATACACCCGAGAAGTTCATAAAGAATTTAGCTAGTCTCGTTCTTTCTACATAGAGTTCCTCGAGTTCCCCAGCCGTAGCCTGCCTAAGCTAATGCCTGTGATCTAAATCAACAGAGGTTGGCATAACGCTATTGTTTTCAAATATGTCCAGTATTATTGGCACTGGCATCTAAACTTAACACTAAATATACACGTCAATTCCAGCGTTAACAATGCAGTCTATTTTCTGGCAATTTATCAGTTAATTTTACCAGCATTGCTTTGCGCAGCTGCGAGAAAAATAGATTTGCTTTCTAATTTGACGCTCGCGGCCCATCTGTTTTCTCTCATTCACTACCGTGCATTCTAATTCCAGCGTGTTCACGCGCATAAAAATCATTTGTGTTTGATTTGGGCTTCAGCGTGGTTGCCCAAAATGTAATTAAATTCTAATGTATTTATCCCCTCAGGTGCAATTAAGGCAGGCAAGTCAGAATAAATGTTTTGATAATAATCCTAACACAACACCCTCCACATAATAACATACAGTACACAACAGACATCACTCCCCAATACAATACACCCCCCCACACACACAATACATACACAATATAACAACTTATTGGGTCTTGACTGATTCTGAAGGATACAAAAATAAACAAACTGAATACCTTTAACTGAAATGTGTGCGTCCCAAATGACCAGGGCCTATAACTATAGTGCACTATAAAAGGAAATATGTGTTCATTTGTGGTGGGTCAGGTGTGCTTACTTGGATAAGTTTGAGGCAGATGAGTTTCTGCTCCATGGTCTCCACTCTGACCATCAGCCTGCAGAGAGACACCACCTCCTTCTCATCGTACAGACCCTCCCCGTTCTCCAGCAGAGCCTCTAGCTCCTCATCCACCTGGAGACACAGCAGACCAGCATCAACACTCAGCAGTAACAGGACAGCTACACTGGCAGACCAGCATCAACACTCAGCAGTAACAGGACAGCTACACTGGCAGACCAGCATCAACACTCAGCAGTAACAGGACAGCTACACTGGCAGACCAGCATTAACACTCAGCAGTAACAGGACAGCTACACTGGCAGACCAGCATCAACACTCAGCAGTAACAGGACAGCTACACTGGCAGACCAGCATCAACACTCAGCAGTAACAGGACAGCTACACTGGCAGACCAGCATTAACACTCAGCAGTAACAGGACAGCTACACTGGCAGACCAGCATTAACACTCAGCAGTAACAGGACAGCTACACTGGCAGACCAACATCAACACTCAGCAGTAACAGGACAGCTACACGGGCAGACCAGCATTAACACTCAGCAGTAACAGGACAGCTACACTGGCAGACCAACATTAATAATCAGCAGTAACAGGACAGCTACAGTAGGTTTTTAGCTGCTACACTGGTAGCGTGAGCAGAGCGCAAGCCACTTTATCAAGTGTTCTAAGGCGTGAATCGCACCAAATTCTTGAAAATAGAACAGCGTAGCAGATTACGATGAGGACTTGAGCCTCCATTGCCAAGGTTTCACAGAACTAAAATAGCCGGTCCTTTTGTGTTCAGTAGCAGTGTTATTTATGGAAAGGAGAAGCCACTGGAGCTCTCAGAGCAATTAGCCTAAAGCCAGTACAAACCGGACCCGTATCTGCCTCGCTAGACCATGGCTACGTCTCAAATGGCACCCTATCCCCTATATAGTGCACTACTTATGACCAGAGCCCTGATCAAAAGTAGTGCACTAAATAGGGAATAGGGTGCCATTTGGAACACGGAACATCACTGCTGCGGGTTTCAGCAGATAATTCGATTGGAGTTATGAAATAGCTCAAAAACGTTTTTAAAATATATACATTTCCACACTATGAGGTTGGAATAATACTGTGAAATTGTGAAAATTATGATAAATGCCATTTTAGTGTAAGAGCTGTTTGAAAAGACCGCCTGAAATTTCAGCCCGTTTTGGTGGGATGGAGTTTTGGCGACATCACCAGGTGGAAAATGAGTTCCAAACCTCTCTGCCAACAACAGGTAGTTTTCTCCTCTCCGCTCAGACCACTCCCAAACAAAACAGTCCAAGCTAAATTCTTGCTTGAAAATTTGCTCTTCGCTAAGAAGCTATTTGTTTGTTTTTGACCATTTTAATTGAAAAACAATCAATCACAGTAAGGTACTTAATTGTTACCTCAGAAATTATTTGATATTGAGATAAAAACGTCTGCATTGGACCTTTAAATATTCAGTTTGGTTGATAGTGACATGAACTCCACAACAACTCACTTCCCTAGCACCTTTTCAAGTGATGGCTGTTCAGAGACAGCCAGTCCTAGGTTTGCCAAAATGTTGATAATTTCTTTGTTGGAAGATTTCATACTTATTCCAGGAATCTTCCAGAACAGGATTTATGGAAAACCTGGGACTCTTGGGAGTGCCAATGCCAAACCTGACCCACACACTTACCGTAGTAAGTGCATTGCTCACGGAGGTGTCCTTCTTGCGAGGGCGCTCTTTCTTCATCTTCCCTGCTGCTGCTCTTACACTGACCCGGTTCTCCCCGCCTAGGAAGCCTCGGCAGCTGGGAGCCCCACAGAAGCACTTCTGGGCCTCTTTCCTGGTGTGTACAGAGGAGAAGGAGTAAAGCACTACATCATAGCTATATGTCAGTCAAGAGAGCAACAGGGGCTTATCATAATTTTATATGCTTTCAATGACTACAACAGCAGGGTGATGCATTAAAACAATGACTACAACAGCAGGGTGATGTATTAGAACAATGACTACACACAGCAGGGTGATGTATTAGAACAATGACTACAACAGCAGGGTGATGTATTAGAACAGAGTGTCAAACATTGTTACAACAGACATTTAAAATCCAAAAGAGAAGCTAATGCTAAATGGCATCCTATGGGCCTTGGTCAAAAAATAGTGCACTAAAAAGGGAATGGGGCGTCATTTGGGACGCAGATAGAGAGACACTAACCCATATCTCTGGAACTGGTAGTCGAAGGTAAGCTCTGTACCAGCCGTGACGGTCCTGGAGGTGAAGAACCCAACTCTCAGCTGGCCGTTCACAGTCCACTGAAATACAGACACAAAAAGAAATGTCAGGATAAAACAAACATGGTTTTTCACTTTGCCGATAAATACTTTGTTGAGGGAAAGTGTACTTGAGACGACTGATGTGTCGTCTCACCTAGCTATTTTAAGATTAACGCACCAATTGTAAATCGCTCTGGATAAGAGCGTCTGATAAATAACTAAAATGTCAAATGAAATCACAGATTGAGATGCAGTTCCCTGGTAGAGTAGCCTGAGTGCCAGTATGTTTGTACTATAATGCAGACTTCCTGTCACTCATTGCCATATTTGGCTTGACAACGACATCAATGGAGCTGGCAAGAACACAAACAGATCTGGAACCAGGCTAAAAGTAGAACAAAGTAGAGGCAAATATTGTTCTGAACCAAGACAAATGAACCGTCCAGTGAAAATCTCACTTTTAAATGCTCATACTCCGTTAACTCGTACGCAAATAATGTTGTTGACTCGTCCTATACTTCTATGTGGCCGAAGCATAAATGAGAGGAAAAAAAAAAAAAAACTGGAAAACAAACTTAAAAAACCCCTTCTTAAACTTATATCTCAAACAGACCGTTTCAAAAATGCTTGCTATTTCCTCAGAGGATGAGGTCATGTTTTTGTCCGAGACGGCTAATTGGCTGAGCTGGAAAATCAGCTGTTTACTCGTCATGAATATTTTTTCTGAGCGGTATACACCCACACCAATGTGTTGTTGGGGTAAGCCCACACCATTCAAAACACAGAAAAGCTGCTTTTTAACATAGGTAATTACCATTTTTTGGAAGGAAACCGATTGAACTCATTGTAATTCATTATAGATCCTATTTCATAGAAATCTGGAAACCCTGGACAGATACCGCAAAGGACCTCTCTCTGGCCGCCAGGCTATATACCTTCTGGGTCTCACAGTTGGGCTCACAGCTGTGGTTCATGAAGCGTGAGCAGTTCCCCTTCAGTGTGGCGTCTATGATCTGAGGAGACACAGAAGAAAGGAGTTTCAGGTAACCTTCCACATTACCTGTCAGTTGTAAACGATAGAACACTGAGTGTATCCCAAATGGCACCCTATAGCCTACATACGGCACTACTTTTGACCAGACCCAATCAGGGTGTCATTTGGGATGCACACTAAACTTGTGGGCTCTGGTCTGGTAGTGCACTTTATAGGGAATAGGGTGCCATGTCGGACGCAGCCTATACAGTGGCTTGCGAAAGTATTCACCCCCCTTGGCATTTTTCCAATTTTGTTGCCTTACAAACTGGAATTAAAATGAGTTTTGGGGGGGTTTGTATCATTTGATTTACACAACATGCCTACCACATTGAAGATGCACTTTTTTCCTCCTTGTGAAACGAACAAGAAATAAGACCAAAAAAACCCAGCACACTTGAGCGTGCATAACTATTTTTCCTTGATGGCCAAAAAGCTCAATTTGAGTCTCATCTGACCACAGTACTTTCTCCCATATGTTTGGGGAGTCTCCCACATGCCTTTTGGCGAGCACCAAACGTGTTTGCTTATTTTTTTCTTTAAGAAATTGCTTTTTTCTGGCCACTCTTCCGTAAAGCCCAGCTCTGTGGAGTGTATGGCTTAAAGTGGTCCTATGGACAGATACTCCAATCTCCGCTGTGGAGCTTTGCAGCTCCTTCAGGGTTATCTTTGGTCTCTGTTGCCTCACTGATGAATGCCCTCCTTGCCTGGTCTGTGAGTTTTGGTGGGCGGCCCTCTCTTGGCAGGTTTGTTGTGGTGCCATATTCTTTCCATTTTTTAAATAATGGATTTAAATGGTGCTCCGTGGGATGTTCAAAGTTTCTGATATTTTTTTATAACCCAACCCTGATCTGTACTTCTCCACAACTTTGTCCCTGACCTGTTTGGAGAGCTCCTTGGTCTTTGTGGTGCTGCCCCTTGCTTACTGGTGTTGCAGACTCTGGGGCCTTTCAGAACAGGTGTATATATACTGAGATCATGTGACACTTAGATTGCACACAGGTGGACTTTATTTAACTAATTTTGGTGACTTCTGAAGGTAATTGGTTGCACCAGATCTTATTTAGGGGCTTCATAGCAAAGGGGGTGAATACATACAGTGGGGAGAACAAGTATTTGATACACTGCCAATTTTGCAGGTTTTTTTATCATAGGTACACTTCAACTGTGAGACGGAATCTAAAACAAAAATCCAGAAAATCACATTGTATGATTTTTAAGTAATTAATTTGCATTTTATTGCATGACATAATTATTTGATACATCAGAAAAGCATAACTTAATATTTGGTACAGAAACCTTTGTTTGCAATTACAGAGATCATACGTTTCCTGTAGGTCTTGACCAGGCTTGCACACACTGCAGCAGGGATTTTGGCCCACTCCTCCATACAGACCTTCAGGTTTCGGGGCTGTCGCTGGGCAATGCGGACTTTCAGCTCCCTCCAAAGATTTTCTATTGGGTTCAGGTCTGGAGACTGGCTAGGCCCCTCCAGGACCTTGAGATGCTTCTTACGGAGCCACTCCTTAGTTGCCCTGGCTGTGTGTTTTGGGTCGTTGTCATGCTGGAAGACCCAGCCACGACCCATCTTCAATGCTCTTACTGAGGGAAGGAGGTTGTTGGCCAAGATCTCGCGATACATGGCCCCATCCATCCTCCCCTCAATACGGTGAAGTCGTCCTGTCCCCTTTGCAGAAAAGCATCCCCAAAGAATGATGTTTCCACCTCCATGCTTCACGGTTGGGATGGTGTTCTTGGGGTTGTACTCATCCTTCTTCTTCCTCCAAACACGGCGAGTGGAGTTTAGACCAAAAAGCTATATTTTTGTCTCATCAGACCACATGACCTTCTCCCATTCCTCCTCTGGGTCATCCAGATGGTCATTAGCAAACTTCAGACGGGCCTGGACATGCGCTGGCTTGAGCAGGGGGACCTTGCGTGCGCTGCAGGATTTTAATCCATGACGGCATAGTGTGTTACTAATGGTTTTCTTTGAGACTGTGGTCCCAGCTCTCTTCAGGTCATTGACCAGGTCCTGCCGTGTAGTTCTGGGCTGATCCCTCACCTTCCTCATGATCATTGATGCCCCACGAGGTGAGATCTTGCATGGAGCCCCAGGCCGAGGGTGATTGACCGTCATCTTGAACAACAGTTGTTGCCTTCTCACCAAGCTGCTTGCCTATTGTCCTGTAGCCCATTCCAGCCTTGTGCAGGTCTACAATTTTATCCCTGATGTCCTTACACAGCTCTCTGGTCTTGGCCATTGTGGAGAGGTTGGAGTCTGTTTGATTGAGTGTGTGGACAGGTGTCTTTTATACAGGTAACGAGTTCAAACAGGTGCAGTTAATACAGGTAATTAGTGGAGAACAGGAGGGCTTCTTAAAGAAAAACTAACAGGTCTGTGAGAGCCGGAATTCTTACTGGTTGGTAGGTGATCAAATACTTATGTCATACAATAAAATGCAAATTAATTACTTAAAAATCATACAATGTGATTTTCTGGATTTTTGTTTTAGATTCCGTCTCTCACAGTTGAAGTGTACCTATGATAAAAATTACAGACCTCTACGTGCTTTGTAAGTAGGAAAACCTGCAAAATCGGCAGTGTATCAAATACTTGTTCTCCCCACTGTATGCACGCACCACTTTTCCGTTATTTATTTAGTCAAATTTTTTGAAACAAGTAATTTTTTTCATTTCACTTCACCAATTTGGACTATTTTGTGTATGTCCATTACATGAAATCCAAATAAAAATCAATTTAAATTACAGGTTGTAATGCAACAAAATAGGAAAAACGCCAAGGGGGATGAATATTTTTGCAAGGCACTGTAGCTGTCTGGTTTAGACTTTGACTGCCTTTGTTGATGAAAAGTACATTCTAAAACCAACATGCCCACTGGTAGAAATTATGCATTTTCAAAGGAAAAACTGGTTGCAAATATGTATTTTCAAAAGGCAAAACTGGTTGAAAAGATCATTTAATTTCAACCAGTTTTGCCCACCGAATGGGCAACAGGCTTTTACCTTTGACAAAGGCCTAGCTCCAACCAACTGAGCTAGTCCTAGTCCCCATTTCAGGAGTTCAGTGCACTATATGTATGGAAGGGGCGTCAATGTTCCAGTGGTCTCACCTCATTATTCTTCAAGGCCATGAAATAGTAGTGGATGTTCTTCATGCTAGCGTACTTTTTCACCCGCATCTTGAACTCCTTGTGGTCCAACACCTCTCCGCAGTACTCCAGCACAAACGTGTTTCTGAAATTGTATCAAACACTGAAAAAAATAGCAAGACTCCTTTGTGGCGCCACTCTTAACTTTTATGAAATCAGAGTGCAGCTTTTAGGGCAATGACCAGGGCTCAATCTCATTTTGTCTTTTCACAATTACTCACATCCTATCGCCACGCCTCCTCAACCGTATTGGAGAAGGTCCAAGGGGTTTCTCTCAGAACTTCCTCTCCAATGTGTTTTGAGGAGTCAAGGAGAAAGGATGCGAGAAATCGAGGAAAGATCTATTGAGAACGAGCCCTGGGTGTTCTATCATGAATCAAGGGCTAAGATCTAAGAGCCTTACGGCATCAGGTCCCTGGCCGCCCTCAGTCCCCAGCCCTTTTCTTCAGTCAGGATGACCTCAAAGTCTGCATGCTGTTTCATCTGGAAGCGTCGGTTGGAGCAGTATCCTGTATTCAGGCACCGCGATGAGCTGCAAAGACAGGGACATTACATTTTTTTATTATGGCCATTTAGCAGACGCTCTTCTCCAGAGCAACTTACAGTCAGTTCATTCAACTAAGTTAAATAGGCAACCACATATCACAGTCATTGCGAACCTTCCTCATAACCTTCCTATGTTTCAAGATGAACTGGTAAAGGACCAATGATAAAACTATACTACAGTGCCTTCAGAAAGTATTCATACCCCTTGACTTATTCCACATTTTGTTGTTACAGCCTGAATTCAAAATGGATTAAATAGATTATTTTTTTTTCTCACCAATCTACAAACAATACTCCATAATGACAAAGTGAAAACATGTTTTTAGAAAATCTTGCACATTTTGGAAAATTAAATACAGAAATGTCTAATTTACCTAAGTATTCACACCCATGAGACAATACGTTAGAATCGTTTTTGGCGGCAATTACAGCTGTGAGTCTTTCTGGGTAAGTCTCGAAGATCTTTGCACACTTGGACAGTAAAATATTTGCACATTATTCTTTTAAAAGTTATTCAAGCTCTGTCAAGTTGGTTGTTAATCATTGCTAGACAGCCATTTTCAAGTCTTCTCATAGATTTTCAAGCCGATTTAAGTCAAAACTGTAACTAGGCCACTCAGGAACATTAAATGTCATCTTGGTAAGCAACTCCAGTGTATATTAGGCATAGTGTTTTAGGTTATTGTCCTGCTGAAAGGTGAATTTGTCTCCTAGTGTCTGTTGGAAAGCAGACAACCAGGTTTCCCAAGGATTTTGCCTGTGCTTACCCCCTTTCCGTTTCTTTTAATCCTAAAATGCTCCCTAGTCCTTGCCGATGACAAGCATACCCATAACATGATTCAGCCACCACCAAGCTTGAAAATATGAAGTGGTACTCAGTGATGTGTTGTGTTGGATTTGCCCCAAACATAAAACTTTGTATTCAGGACATTAAGTTAATTTCTTTGCCACATGTATTGCAGGTTTACTTTAGTGCCTTATTGCAAACAGGATGAATGTTTTGCAATATTTTTATTCTGTGCAGGCTTCCTTCTTTTCACTCTGTCATTTAGGTTAGTATTGTGGAGTAACTACAATGTTGTTGATTCATCCTCAGTTATATTCTATCACAGCCATTAAACTTTGTTTTAAAGTCACCATTGGCCTCATGGGGAAATCCCTGAGCGGTTTCCTTCCTCTCTGGCAACTGTTAGGAAGGACGCCTGTATCTTTGTAGTGAACGGGTGTATTGATACACCATCCAAAGTGTAATTAATAACTTCACCATGCTCAAAGGGATATTCAATGTCTGTTTTTGTATTTACTTGTACCCATCTATCAATAGGTGCCCTTCTTTGCGAGGCATTGGGAAACCTCCCTGGTCTTTGTGGTTGAATCTGTTTGAAATTCACTGCACGACTGAGGGACCTTAAAGATAATTGTATGTGTGGGGTACAGAGATGAGGTAGCAATTAAAAAATCATGTTAAACACTATTACTGCACACAGAATGAGTCCATGCAATTAATTACTCCTGAACTTATTTAGGCCATAACAAAGGGGTTGAATACTTGTTTCGTCAAAACATTTCAGCTTTTCATTTTTAATTAATTTGTAAACATTTTTTTAAAACATATTTCCACTTTGACATTGTGGGGTATTGTGTGTAGGCCAGTGACACAAAATCTACTTTCTGAAGGCACTGTATATGATCTGCTTTACAGTTTGGTATTACCAGGGTGATGCAAAGGAGAAGAACTCACCACTCGATCATCAGCAGACGGTTAAGGCAGTCCTCCCCACAAGCCATCATTCCACGAGACCGCTCCTCCCTCGAGAGCATAGAGCACTCACACTGCATTCGCTTGATGTCTCGATGAGACTTGTTCTTCTTCCTGTACAGATCAACAGAAATCCCTCAGTGGTCGTTACTCTTATGCTGAAGTCATATGATGATCTCGCGTTTTAAATTTTGTACAACCAATTTATAATATAAACAATGTTTTGGATGACTTTGCATGCCAACTATAGCAAAAAACAGAAGTGGAACAAAATCTCACCGTTCAGTCAGATACAGGTTTTCCTCAATCAGGTCAAAGTATGGTGGCATCTTCTTAGACCTTGCCATCTCCCTCCAGTTGCTGGCGTCCCGGAAGTCCCTCAGACTGAGCAAAGGACGTTGCACCTCGGCCTGACCTGGAGTCTCCCTGGAGTCTTTGGAGGAGACCTTGGGGAGCTCCCTTTCTGCCAGTCGCTCCCTTTTGCTAGCGAGCCCAGGTTCTGCCTCACTGTCCGAATCTGACTCCATTTCTGGACGCCTCTTCTTGGGAGGACCCCTGCCTCTGTGGGGCCTCGAGTTGTCCTTGTCTCTGGGAGGTTCAACTATGGCAATGCTCTCTGGAGTGGCGTTGACAGAGCCTCTGCAGTTGCTGCTTATTTCATGGGCTTGGACGAAGGCTAGCGAGCCTGGAAGGTTGGGACCATTGCATTCCCCAGCTAGTCTACTAAGGCCTGCTGGTTTCCCCTCACTGTCCTCATCACAGTCATTAGTCAGGGAGTCAGGATGGACTTGACCAACAGGCTCCTGGTAATGTGTTGCAGGCACATGGAGGTAGACCGGTCTGCAGGTGGGTTGAGTCGTAGTTGGTAGTTGGGTCCAGCAGGCCCCGTTGTCTGCCCTGTACACCTGCCCTAAAGAAGAGTTCCCTGGCTGTTGAGTGTTGGGATGCTGTTGTGATGCCCCGTGGCTGCTGTCAGGCTGCTGGTACGTACTGCTGGGCTGCTCCGGCTGTGTGAAGTCCCAGCCCAGACTGCTGTTGAAGTCATCAGAGCTAGCAAAGTCTCCATGTTGGTAACGGGACAGCATCCCACCACCCCTGCCACTCTCATAATGCTGTGGATGCCCTGTCTCAGACTGCCTGAAGGAGGTCTCAAGGCTGTGGGCAGCAACCTGGCTCACCGTTGCTGCACCAATCTTTGGTCTCTCATGGGCACTGCTATAAGGATCCTTATAAGGCTGGGCATCGGTGGCATTGGAGCCCTCGAGCTGGCTGGTGCTATCTACCATATTGCTCTGTGATTGATAAACCATGCTGTCATGTAAAGAGAGACTTCCATCAACACAAGCATTACTGGCCTGCCTAGTGCTCTCACACATGGTGGGAAAGCCTCGATGTCTCTGCTGTGGGCTGACTCTGCTTGTGATCTCCTTCCTGTCCAGGTCACCCTCTTGGCCACTAGCCCCGTTAGCGTGTTGTTGACGTCCTGGGCTAGTGCTTGGAGTGCAGGGAGACACAGGCTTGTCTGTTGTGTCCGAGTGAGTTAGGGTGGAATTCTTTGGCACAACCACCACAGACTGCATCCGTTTCACAGCAGCACCGCAGTCAGAGTCCGACTCTGAATCGTCGGAGTCACTGTCCTCGCTTTGGCCTACACCGTCCTGGCTCGACACTGGTCTCTTCACCAGTTTGCTCTTGTGAGCGCCATCTTTAGATTTCCCTTCATTGCCGTCGCCATTCCTACCCTGCTCCCTTCTAGCGTTGTCTACATGTGAGGTATTATTTAAAAGTGAGGGATCTCCATCCATTTGGCTGATGTGGGGTTTGATGTCTGAATGGTCATTGCTGGTTCCACAGGTGCCTGGTTGTGCAGTTGGGTTTGCGGACTCCGACTGGTCTTTCCTAAGAGATATTGGTACTGAGCTGTGTTCTTGTGCGATGACAATTTCTTGCTTAATCGTTTTGGAATGCAACTCGGCTTCCCATTTCAGTTGACCCTTTATCAGAGATGGATCTTCCTGGCTGACGTCTTTAGAAAACTCAATTCTCTTGACGGAGATTACCTTTTTCACAGCAGGTTTACTTTCTTGGGAAGGCCATTTCTGAGGATTATCACTGTCTGAGGTGTCTTGTCCAACAATATCCCAACGCGATCTTTTTGTTTTACCTCTGTTTTTCCTCAAACTAGAGTTCTGTTGTTCAGTCTTGTTGGGAAATTGTTGAGGTTCAGGACTAGAGGGTTCAGATTTGAGAGGGACGCTTGTGCAAGACTGCATCTTGATATTCACATTTCTACTAGAATAGACAGTATTTTCTGGTTTAGTGTTCTCCTTAGGGTGGTCTCTGACAGATACGTCTACTGTAGATGGTGATGACTTTGACCCAACTGAACCTTGAAAAACAGTCTTATCCAGGCTGGGTATTACTCGGTCATTACTGCAGGAAAAGCTAGAGTTGGCTACATCATCCGGCTTCTCGGTGGATCCCATTTGGGGGTCTACACGCTGTGCATCTTCTTTTTGTTCAGAGCAAATGCTTTTATTAACATTGTCAATGTCCCCTACGGCAAATGTTTCACATAATTGGTCTCCACTAGAGGTGTTCGGTAAAGTTGCTGCCGAGACATTCTGAACCTCAATGCAATGATTAATATTCTCATTAACTAGATCCAACGCTGGTTCTCGCAATCTGTGAGTTGGATCACAATTTGAAGGTAACGACAGAGTTGGTTTTTGTAAGTCTTTATCTTGGGATGTGATGTCATCCATGTTGCCAACGTCCTCCCTTTGGCAAGTATCTGCTAGCTGGGAATCTGCTCCACCTTTGTCATTTTTGCTCTGAGAGTGAGCACCAGAAGGGGTTTCATGGGTTTGTATATTATTTGGACTGTGAAATGTGTCGTTTGATTGTCTATTAGATTTCAATGATGACTTGGAGGCGGACATTTGCTTAGAGTCTGATTTACTGTTGGAAGATGTCCATGCCCCTTCAGAGCCAGAAGAGCGATCAGAGCCCTGTGACTGACACTTCCCTTTGTGAGCTACCTCAAATTCACTAGAGCTGCTTTTCTGGAGACTTTTGTCCGATGTTTGAGAGAGGGCATGTGGACTGGAATGAGTGGATCGAACACTGATGTCCGGCTTGTAGTGGGTGTTGGATTTCCTGTGATTAGGTTCTCCTTCAGGAGAGCACTTTTGGAGAGAATCGGAGTCAACAGTTCTCTTTGAGGCCCTCTCAGACTTAGAAGATTGTGTTCTTTTATCTATCTCTGAAGAGTGAGGGGAATCTATATATTTCGAGTCTCGTTCAGATTTCGAGTCTCGTTCAGATTTTGAGCGAGATGAGGATGACTTTGAATCTCTCTGCAAGCTAGAATGGGTGGACGACCTGCTGGAATCACTTGTTCTAGTCCGAGTTCTTCTGTGGTCATCTTCAGAGTCAGAACTGTCGCCGCGGACTCTGCTGCTATCAGTCTGAGAGCGAGAGCTGCCTCTCCTCTCTCTGTATGGAGAATTTCTGTGACCTCCTGACCTCCGCTCAGAGTCATGATATGACCGATCAGACCGTGATCCTGACCCTCTCTCGCTTCTAGATCTCTCAGATCTGGAACGTGTCTCAGGTCTAGAACTCGTCCGGGGGCCTCTTGATCTGGACCTTGACCGACTCGTAGTCCTTTTGCGGTCTTTGTCAGAGCGGGAGGACCGCGAGGGTGTGTGCTTTGATTCTCGGTCAGACTTGGATTCTCGGTCAGCGGTTGACCTTAATTCTCGGTCAGACTTGGATTCTCTGTCAGATTTGGATTCTCGGTTAAACTTTGAGTAACTACAGGTCCTTTCGTCCTTCTCAGAACGTGTATGGTGAGAACTTTTTTCTGTTTCCTCTAATTTGGAGCGAGAAGAGGATATCCTTTTTGCATCCTTACTTCTACTCTCCGACTTTGCTGTGGCCTTGGGTTCACCCGATTTGTGGCTGGAAGACGTCTGCACTGAATCAGCATCAGATTCTGAGCCAGGGAGTGTGCCGTCTGACCGGGACCGGATTGGTATGTTTTCTGAGGCGTCTTGCTGCTCCGTTACACTGGAACCGTTTACATCCACTTTCCCTACGTGGGAGGAATCAGTCAGCTCCTTGAGACTGAGGTCCGGCTTCACATCAGATACATGAGTGAGTGCATTCTCAGAGGGGCACTCACTGCCCATGTTCTGAACACTGTTCTGAGACTGGGATGGTCGTGTTGAGGTGACCGTTTCAATTTCACCTGAAGATTTCATTAAAACCTGTTGCTCGGAAGGGGGTGGATCCTGTAAGACAACGCTGGTTATGGGACTCTCTTCAATAACAGATACACTGAGAATCTGTTTCTTGAAGTGCATCTTTCCCAAGTCCACTTTAGGTTTGGGGACTGAGGAGACCGCCGTCTGAGGCGCAAGGGTCTCTGCTACTGGTGTGGGCACCGACAAGGGTGGCTGCATTTGCTCATTTTTACTTTCCGTATGCTGCCCTGCTCTGTCCTGAGAGAGTGAGGTTGTAGGTGACAGGACAGAGGGAAGTTCAGCAAGAGATTTTTCCTGACTGGGAGGGGCCAGGAATAAGTTCTGCAGAGGTTTCTTTGTGAGAGAGAAGCTGAAGGACACTTTCTGGCGACCCTGGTCATCCAGGTTCACCTTCCTCTTGGTTCCTTTAGGCAGGAGATGGCTGGACAACATCACTCGAGGAGAGAGGCCTTTGAGTATAGCTGCCTTGGTGAGGCCCTCAACCTTGACCTGTACAGGGAACAAAATAAGTAGACGTTACCATGGCTATAATTTGAGGAGAAACTATTACTGTAAACCAAATCATGTGACCTATCATTCAGTTTCCCAAATGTAATTTCTATGGTACGTGTCATTGCAATGATCAAACTCAAAAGATGCACAACAACTACACCAGCTATTTGTGTAATACAAAACAGATAAACAAAGATGTATTCATCACACTTTTAACAAACGTGTAATAAAGACTTACTGAGGTATCTCCTCCCTCTTCCCTGAGGTAACGTAAGGAGTGCATGGGGGGGGGGAAACAAAAACAAATCAATGAAAACTATTCATAGACTTGCAGCAACATTGTCATTAAAATACAAATTAATCTAACAAACATCTGCAAATCACTTTAACGCTTTAGCAATCACACAAAATGTATTATGAAATGTAATGTATATCGATGTCCAATAAGGTAACGGTAAAACATACAAATAAAAACAATTTCATGCAAAGATGTAGAATCACGGCCGATTGAGGGATAGCCTGGCGGTTGGTCAAACATGAAATGTTTAGAACAGGGGTCTCATCATAGAAACTACATGTCATCCTACTGTAAAAAAAGGCCTAATTCACATTTATGAGAACGCAATCAACTCTTTTGTTCTACTAAGAGGACTCAATATTGTAGTTGTTTTCTTTAGGGTACAATAAGGTTGCTATGCAACAACTGGGTAATGTATTCCTTTAGGATTTGATGTTCTCTTTTTCTCTTTGACAAAGACAGACCATTCTAAAATGACCGTTACAGACATGGGAGGAGCCTTTTCATGTCCACTGAAGTGTCACTTCCTGTCATTTTAACAAAGGATAAAACAGGATTGTGGTTTCATTCATTTCAATTTAGGCTACACCAATCACAAACCCTGCTCATCCTCCTGAAATAGGCCTATCTGCAATACATCATTATAAACATATTGAATTAGCTGTACTTACAAATAGAAAAAGGTTTGAATAGTATTACAAAAACGTTGAGGTAGACAATGTCTAAGGGTGCCAGAATAATGTTACTTGAGAAATAAGCTATCTGACAAAAGTAGTGCTGAGACGATAAACCAAAATTTCATTTTTTTTGGTTATTAAAACAACTAATTGACCGACGTCGGTTCAATTACTTGAATACAATTTAGTAGTATTTTTGTGAGACCAGCACGCCGTTCCTCTAGAGAGAAATCAAAATCATTCATGATAGAAATCAAGTCAAGAACTATGTGGGACGCTGGGTTGAAGGGAGATGTAGTTTTCATTAAGCAAATATTCCACCTAGTTAAGCGCAGAAACGTGGTAATTAACTACAATGACCATAATCTATTGCGCCTGTTCTTTCCGGCTCGGACAGAGACACTTTAACGCCTGCTACATTAGATATACACAGACCGGCGCAGCGGTCTAATGCACTGCATCGCAGTGCTTGAGGCGTCACTACAGCCCCGGGTTCGATCCCAGGTTGTGTCACAGCCGACCGGGAGACGCATGAGGTGGCGCACAATTGGCCCAGCATCGTCTGGGTTAGGGGAGGGTTTGGCTGGCCGGGATTTCATTGTCCCATCGCGCTCTAGCGACTCCTTGTGGCGGGCAGGGCGCCTGCAAGCTGACTTCGGTCGCCAACTGGACGGTGTTTCCTCCGACACATTGGTGCGGCTGGCTTCCGGGTTAAGCGAGCAGTGTGTCAAGAAGCAGTGCGGCTTGGCGGGGTCAAGTTTTGGAGGACCCGAGTCCGTAGGGGAGTTGCAGCGATGGGAAAAGACTAACTACCAATTGGATATCACAAAATTGGGGAGAAAAAGGGGTAAAAGTACAACAACAACAAAATAAGATATACACAGACCGCATGACAGCGGAATGTACACAATGACGAGAGGGATAGAGACTGTTGGTGAAAGTTTGCCATATCTACTTTGAAGAACTAGTAGAAGGATTGTCAGAGAGCTCTGCAGCATACTTAGGCAGGCTAGCTAAATAAGATGACTAAAGACAGTACAGTATTGGGAGCACAGAGATAACGTTAGATGGTCTGGCTGGCTGGCTGCTACTGCCTGAGCAGAAATGAGGTGATGACTAAGGAATGAAAAGAATAAAGTAATCAAATAAAAACTAAGTAATATACACAACTGAAATATTGTATTATTTCATAGTAATTTCCTATTTTTCTTCTGATGTCTACCCAATGTGGACCTGACAGAGACAATGGAATATTTTCAATGTTTTGGCAATTGAATATTCACAATTCCAATGGAATTTCCATTAAAAAGCACTAAAATAATTTGTCATTATTTCATAATGCATTTAATGAGGTCGGTTCGATTATTTTTTACCTCAAAAAGCACTAATCGCTCAGAACTAGACAAAAGCATCCTTTAACGCATCGGCATCAAGTGAACCCTGTCCGTCATTGTCTCTCAAGAACAAAGGATAACGAGTCATGGAATCTTTGCATTCAGGTTGTGCACCTTTTGTCTGTTAATATTCTGTGAGGGTGACTGCTGCCATGGTGACCAAGACTTCTGAGTCCACACCAGGTTGGATGAGCAAATAAACTTGGCAGACAGAGGCTGAAGCTCGAGTATACACTAACATCTATAGGACGGGAGCACTTCACATACTAGCTGATACCTGATGCAACCTCCCATTCTATGCAGAGAGATTATCCCCCGGGAAGAGGGGTCCCGGAAAGTCGGATCCGCAGCCACTTATTTGGGTCCAATTACGACTGCTTTGACCTTGCTCACATTGGGTAATGAAATTCAGCAACTTTTCTCAAAAAAGAAAGTTATGGACACAAACCACTGACAGAATGAGGTCGAAGTATACAGTAAACAACTATATCAACCTACACTAGGAAGGTGCTTTTCAAACAGAACCCTTTCCCTAAAACAGCACTGATACTCCTTTAAAACTGGAGCACTGGGATTAGAATTCCACTGCAACCTGGATCAACATTCCAGAATTCAACACACAATGAATGATGTCATTGGATTAATTGGATACAGGACAGGTCCCTGACCCAGTGATGATGGACCCAACAAACCAAATGACCAATAGGAGGGGAGGTGGGTGTCATTTTAGTTCCAAATTAAGTTGTTTAGGAGTGTAGTCTACTTTGCATGCATACATACATTCTAATGCCCACCATTGAGGGTGACAATCTCCTGAGTGGCGCAGTGGTCTAAGGCACTGCATCGCAGTGCTAACTGTGCCACTAGAGATCCTGGTTCGAATCCAGGCTCTGTCGCAGCCGGCCGCGACCGGGAGACTCATGGGCGGCGCACTATTGGCCCAGCGTCGTCCAGGGTAGGGGAGGGAATGGCCGGCAGGGATGTAGCTCAGTTGATAGAGCATGGCGTTTGCAACGCCAGGGTTGTGGGTTCGTTTCCCAGGGGGGGGGCAGTATAAAAAAATAAAAAAAATATATGTATTCACTAACTGTAAGTCGCTCTGGATAAGAGCGTCTGCTAAATGACTAAAATGTAAATCAGTGTATCCCAACACCAGTCCTTGATTACCCCCAACAGCACACATGTTTGTTGTAGCCCCTGACAAAGGCACCTAATTCAACTCATTGAGGGCTTGATGATTAGTTGAATCAGGTGTGTTTGTCCGGGGCTGCAACAAACATGTGTACAGTTGGTGGTCCTCAAGGACTGGAGTTGAGAAACACTGTCCTAGGCCCTAGTGTCACTTCAGTTAGCTAGCAAAGGGCATCGATTACAGACAGTCTATAGCGCCACTCTGACACTGTGTGTGTATTGGTAGTACCTGATCTCTGAGTTCACCAGAGCATCCATTGCACTGCGGTTCTGGCGTTTGTAGCCCAGTAGAAGCTGCTGGCCAAGAATAAACCAGTTCAGAGCGGTGAGCTCTCCAATGTGATGTCACACCTAACAAAAATATTAAAACAAATATATTGGGTTACACACCAACAATAAACATACAATAGTCATTTAATCTTATCCCCAACTCAAATTGGATAGACAATAGGGGTTGAGCTGCTACCATCTCTGTTATCATCAAAACCTTAGGTTCAAATCAAAGAACATCTGGCTGCATTTGTTTACCTTATGAACACCACATGTGCAACTCTGGAGGTTGCTTGTAACAAAGCTTTGACTAGAAAAATGTGCATGACTGTTTTCTGTGCAAATGAACACATCAGCTTAAACGTTGAACACAAACTACAGTCAGTAGCTATAGCCTATGAATCAACTGTGCATGTCATCTCTGCAGATTATCATTTTCTGCCTGAAGGGCCCAGCAGCATGCCACACCACTTACAACAGTAGTAAGATAGGAACCATTCTTCTATGTCAAATGTATATGCCTAAATCCACCAAATGTTTACATGGTGGTTCTAACTACAACGCTTACTAAATGCCATTAAATAACAAACCTAAGTATGTATCACATTGACCCGTTTCTTCTGACTGTTGGCCAAAAACGACATGTCTGTTGAGCGGCATTATTTATCGTTTCAATTAGGCAGAAAGAGGAAGCCATTGCTTGCATTGACATTCATAGTATGTGTGGATTGAAAGCAAGCGATTAGCTCATGATAGAGGAGCCGAGTAGCTGTCTTGCGATATAAACGTTAACAACACAGTAGATAAAAGAACACAATGCAAAAACATTATTCTGAAATGATTTGACGCTTCCACTAATCACATATACATCAAGGTTATCTAGGTTGGCTAGCTACACCAACAGCGAGAAGACAAGGCAACATGACAATCTTCTCATCACACAGCTTGCTAACCTATTAGTTTAATATGAAACGTTACACAGATGAGCTCAATAACAGATCCAATGGCCTCTTCTGTTAACTGGTTAACGTGAAATATCAACAAAACAAATGCATACACTTAGCTGGCTGGCATGGAGTTTCTATAATTCTACTCCATAAGACCGGGTCTAACATTTTACAACGAGGAGTCGAGGCCTGCAAATGAGGCCTGTTATGGTGGGAGGGTAACCGAATTGGCTAACGTTAGCTAACTAAATCTCTAAGTTAGCACAACCTAATTAATAACTGAGTACTGTTTGTGTTTGAAAGCTAGTTGACCGTTCACAAAAGTAATGTGCACAACATCTAGCTAATTAGCTAGCTTGCAACCAATTCATTGTCCTAATTAAATACATCCAGCAACGTTAGTTTGGTGACGTTAAAACAATGATGTAGCTAGTTAGCTGGAAACATTGGTGGCTACTTGGTTGTGTCAAAGATCTGGTAGTGTTAACTAAATTGAAGGCTAACTGCCGGTGTACATCGGAGGGTTGAGATCATTTCGCATTAACTAAATACAACATGCCACTTTACCATAGTTATCTATCTATTTATCATGAAACATAGTACCTTTGTGGCCACATAGCTCCAACACTAGTTTGTGTAGGACACTAGACTGGAAAGCTAACTAGCGTAGCTAGCTAACAGGTAATGTGCATGGAAACAGTTAAGCTAACGTTAGCTGGTAGCTAGCTAGCAACTAATAACACTTAGGAAGTTGTGTTTATTATGGCAAGCCCAATCAATCAACAACAAAAACATACCGAAAATAAAACAGGCCAAATACTCACTCTTTCGGGTGTTCTGGGTCATAAACGTCCCCCATCTTCTAACGTTAACCTTACGCTGATAACAAACAGCTCCGAGTCTCTTGGCTGAAAAACATGAAGCACTGCCGACGTCAAATCCACACGGGGGGTTCGAAATTCTACCTAGTTAGCTAACTGTAAGTACCAAACCGATTAATCAAAAAAGCGGTGCGAAGTCGTGATTACAACCCAATTTGGTGCGTTGTTTTAAAAATACACAGTCAGCTAACCTTAGCTAGTTAAACTTGTAATTGCTAGCTAGGTTGCACAACAATGGCTACCTAGCTAGACTGCTAGAAATGCCGTGCTTACAGCGGCGACTCCTCCCCTCTCGACATTCTATCATGGCGATAAAATAGATCGTTTTTGTTAGCTTTGCCACCGTTTCCCACCAACTAGCTAGCTAGCTAATAACGTGAGAACTGGCAACGACCAAGTTTCCAAGTTACTGGAAGTTCTGCTTGTGGAACGTAGCCAGCTAACGTTTATCACCTGGCGCGCGGATTTTTGTAACAAACACCCTACTGTTTGTAGGTAGCCTATGTTTAGCTAGCTATGTGTGATCAAGTCTGTGATATATATTCAGTTAGTTACTTGACATAGCTAGCTACCATACAAGCTCAACGTTAATGTAAAAAAAGATGTTCCTCGTGATTTGACTAACTGGGGTTTTGTTTTGTTTATCAGAGCGCAGATGTGCTAACTGGATCACAGCAAGACCATAATTATGTCTGCAGTTGTCCTCCAGGTGGGCCAGTGTGGAAACCAGCTGGGCTTGGAATGGTGGAGGCTCATTACCAATAGTGGTGCAGGCCAGAGCAAGGAGAATGACAGGTGATCAAGGCCTCGAAACCACTATATTATTAAATGACAGGTGATCATTTAATAATACCCGGACTATTTGCATTTAATGGCTCCCCGGACTATTTGCACTGCCCCCCACCCCATCCTTTTTACGCTGCTGCTACTCTGTTAAGTATTTATGCATAGTCACTTTAACTCTACCCACATGCAGTGGCGGCTCCTGAAAAAATTCTCAGGAGGGGCAATTTTTCTGATGATTTAGGTGACCTACACACATTTAAAAAAAGATATGTCCAGCAACAACATGAAGACAGGGGCAGCATATAAGTCAATACCAGAAGCATTTATTGACTGATCTCAAAAGTGTTGGCTTACCAGGGTTGGTGGAGCCCTCAGTTTCATCTTTGCCTCGCAAAGCTAACTCAAACACTCCGCAAAACTTCACACACTGGATTAGCCGGCTGAGGATGTGGCGGTTCTTGCTAATGTCGTAGTAAATATATTTGTTATAGTGAATATGGAATATGATATGTTGAGTAAAATGTTGTGCTAAGATCTATTTAGGTCAGGAGCTGGTTATAAGTTCTGTTCCTATCCAATAACAATGGACAAAAGGGTCCTATCTTGTCAGCCTTGTCAGCAGGTGGCCAAGGACAACACCCACGCCATAGGCCTCTCAGTTCTTCCAACTCACGAGTTCTTGCTCTGAGGACACACACACACACAAACACACACACACACACATCATCACTGTTAAACACACACACACACACACACACATCATCACTGTTAAACACACACACACACACACACACACACAAAAATCCCCTCTCTTAGGCTGAACATTTGAAGACAGAGAACCCGACTCAGAGCCAATGCAACAGTGACAGTAGCCTGCAGGGGACCTCGCCCAACTCATCAGGACCAATCAGAAGATCAGAACTACTAGATTGAACCTACTTCATTTATTGCATAAAATGTCTGCACACAATGTTTCGGGGCTCTCTTCAGATAATAATAATAATAATAATAATAATAATAATATGCCATTTAGCAGACGCTTTTATCCAAAGCGACTTACAGTCATGCGTGCATACATTTTTGTGTATGGGTGGTCCCGGGGATCGAACCCACTACCTTGGCGTTACAAGCACCATGCTCTACCAGCTGAGCTACAGAAAGTGGATACTCATGGATGCGCATTGCAATTGTAAAATGTCAACACAATTGGAGACACCACGTCATTTTTGGAGACATGTTATTGACAGTAAACTATTGTAGATGCGACTGCTAACTAAATAAAACATTTTAGCTGGCTAGCTAATCATCTTAGCTAAATGTGGGGCAAACAATTCAGTTATTTACCGTTAATTTGAGGGATTGGGGTGAAAGAAATCGAGTTACATAGTGATACTTTACGATATACTGTATTGACAATATCGCAATATTTTAGCGCTAGTTGGCTGTACCTGCACCAAAACACCATTATTGTTCCTTCATAGCTTGTTCTCAATCTTTTCACATTGGGAGCCAATTTGTTTTCAGCACTTTTATTTCCATGACTGATCAAAACTCGTTCTCATGGCTTTCTGATCCCTCTGCAACAGACATATGGTGCGCAATAAAATCACAGTATCGAATCGCAATACGTATAGAATCATGACACTCGCAATGCTGATGCATATATCTTATCGTGAGGTTCCTGGCAATTCCCAGCCCAAGTTCATTTGCCACAACAAATCTCTTCGCTAGCAAACGCGATGTCTTCTCCAAAACGGCAATGTGTCTCCAGCAATGTTTACTTTTTTGACGTTCTATGGCATCTCCAATTTCCAAGCATATATGACCACATGTAATATTTTGGTAAGTGATGCAAATAGTGAACTATGTAGGGCCAGGATGTAAAATATATGTAGCTGCAGCAATTTCTCTTATCTGATATGGTAAGTAATGGGGCTTAATTTATAGCTCCCTAAGAGTTTGACGAACGGGTCCGTGAACGCGATTCCAGATATATTTACCTCTGAATAAACTGCCTTTATTACACCATATCCACATCCAGTAAACTTGTGATTATCAACACTAACCTCATCGTTGTGGCGGCGGACAGCTAGCCTGTATCCCTCGTCATCCAGTTGAGTGAGTGGCAATGTCTTTTTTCGTTCGTACCAATTTTTGGAAAATCCTCGGGTGTAGGACTTTCCGCCTTTAGTAGAAACCTGTTGAATTATTAAATTTGGTCTGGGAGGTCCTAATTGTTTCGTTGCCAATTTATCTTCATTTGTTCGCCGACAAAAAGGAACTTCTTTCAAACAATCCACTCTTTTCTCAGTTACGTTCATGGTTACGTAACGTATGACGAAAGCGCGTAAGTGCAAGCCCACAGACACCCATTGAGATTGTATTGAAGGCTCTGAAATTTGAAAAAAATAGATTTTACATGGGAGTCTATGACAGACTTCTGGGCGATTTTCAACCTGACTGAAATCGCCCCAAAAGGGGGGGGAGCCATTTGAAGCACGACTTTAGCCTGATTCGACATTTAGTGGCAGTGTGGCACTGTGGCAGATCAGACGTATAGATTACAACACTGATAACTACTGTTGCCGTGATATAATTGATTAGAAAAAAAATCCCTTCCTTTTCCCGTTTGGCAGTGCGTCGCCCATATCGCCCTATTGAACAGGCCGCCCCTGCCCACATGTACATATTACCTCAACTAGCCGGTGCCCCCGCACATTGACTCTGCAACGGTACCCCCCTGTATATATAGCCTCCCTACTGTCACTTTATTTTACTTCTGCTCTTTTTTTCTCAACACTTTTTTTCGTTGTTGTTTTATTTTTACTTTTTTGTTTAAAATAAATGCACTGTTGGTTAAGGGCTGTAAGTAAGCATTTCACTGTAATGTCTGCACCTGTTGTATTCGGCGCATGTGACCAATAACATTTGATTTGATTTGATCAAAGCCTCGAAACCACTATATTATTAAATGACAGGTGATCAAGGCCTCGAAACCACTATATTATTAAATAAAGAGATGCACTCTCTCTGCTTTAATGTTTGTTAATTCTTCCCACAGGTGTCCATTCAGCACCAGAGATGGGAAGTTGGCCGCTGTGTGTATTGACAGTGAGCGTAAAGTGCTCAGGGGAGCTCAGCAGTTGGTTAGGAACAAGTGAGTAGTACAAAGCGCACACGTTTTAGTTTATGATAGAATCTTGTACTCACTGGTTGTATCCCAAATGGCACCCTATTCCAAATGGCACCCTATTCCCTACATAGGGCACTACTGTTGACCACCATGGCCCATATGTAGGGAATAGGGTGCCATTTTGGACGCACCACTGTTGACTTTGATCTTCCATTTCTGCCTCCTGTTATGGAACAGACAGCTGCGGGACTGATTGTTCTGGCACAAGGAGAAAGAGGGAGCAACTGGGCATATGGTAAGGACAGCCAGGCACATTTGTTTCATAATCAACTCAGACTTACACCATCAAAATGCAATGTGGCACCAAGAAGACACAGCAAAAAATGGTGTCTGGGTGTTTAATTTGAAAAAAAGTATAATTGCATATCCATAGTTCACAGTATGATAGTGACTGTGCACACTTGAACAAGGTACTTGAACAATCCCTAAATAGCTTGTCAGTGATACCTCTACAGAATGTCCATTGTAACCCACCAGGTTACAATGGATATTGGGGCGAGGAGAGTAACGGTTTACTCCAGCAGACGATGGAGGCCGTTCGCAGGGAGGTGGAGAGAATAGATTACTACGGTGGAGTGGTGCTACTTCACAGCCTGAGTCGGGGCACAGGATCTGGTGAGTAGACATGGGGCCTGTCCCAAATGGCACCATGTACTCTATATAGTGCACTACTCCAAAGTAGTGCACTATATAGGGAAAAGGGTGTGATTTGGGATGCAGACATGGACTCAAGCATAATTTGGAATAGAGGTCAGTGAACAATAATGAGGGCCAGTTTCCCAGACACAGATTGAGCCTAGTCCTGAACTAAACATCACAGTCAATGGAGAATCTCCATTGAAAAAGCTTTGTAGTCCAGGACTGAACGGTGTGGATGACGGATCACCACCTCAAGCTGAACCTCGGCAAGACGGAGCTGCTCTTCCTCCCGGGGAAGGACTGCCCGTTCCATGATCTCGCCATCACGGTTGACAACTCCGTTGTGTCCTCCTGCCAGAGTGCAAAGAGCCTTGGCGTGACCCTGGACAACACCCTGTCGTTCTCCGCTAACATCAAGGCGGTGACCCAATCCTGTAGGTTCATGCTCTACAACATTCGCAGAGTACGACCCTGCCTTACACAGGAAGCGGCACAGGTCCTAATCCAGACACTTGTCATATCCTGTCTGGATTACTGCAACTCGCTGTTGGCTGGGCTCCCTGCCTGTGCCATTAAACCCCTACAACTCATCTAGAACGCTGCAGCCCGTCTGGTGTTCAACCTTCCCAAGTTCTCT